CTGGTGCCTGACAGCTACAGCAGTTGTCAACCCTGCTTGCCCATCATGTATGATGGCAATTTAGGGCTTTGCCCCCAAAGAGTACATCTGGCCTCAAACTCACTATCTTCTTGCCTCAGCTTCCTGAGTGCTAGGATTACAGGCATTATCACCACACCCAATTCTGAAATGTGCATTTTAAAGGAACTGTACAGGGCAGGGCATGTGGCTCAGTGGAGGAGTGCTTGCTTAGCACGATTAAGGTCGTAGTTCAATTCTTAGCACTGGAAAAAGAAAAAAAATAAAAACAACTGTATGATATTTGTACATTGTAAAATTGAGGGCCGCTAGCTCTTATGTTTGTTTCTGTGTGTGTTGTGTGTGGCACTGGGATTCAAACTTGGGGCCTCATGTTTGCTAGGCAGGTGCTCTTACTGTTTGAGCTACTCCACCAGCCCGTTTGTTTGTTTCTGAAACAGGGCTTTGCTATTATAGCCCAGGATGGTCTCAGACTCATCATATTCCTGCCTGAGCTTCCAGAGTGTTGGGAATACATGCTTGTTCTCCCATGCCCAGCTTCACTAACTTGATCTTAAGAACCCAGTGTGGCTGTGTGTGGTGTATATGTGTGATCTTAGCCTTCAGGAGCCTTAGTCAAGAGAATTGTGAGTTTAAGGCCAGCCTGAGCCACACTGGAAGACCCTATGTCAAAAAAAAAAAAAAAAATTGAGCAAAAGAAAAGCAAGGTTTTCCCTTTCATCCCAGAATCTCCCAAGGCAACCAAGACTTGTACAAAACAATTGTTTTGTACACCTCTAGATCTATGCAGAAAGTCCTCTGTTTTTATTTTTACCTTACACCATTCCTGTTTGCCCCTCTTCAAGTATTGTATCAAGTAGGAACATGCTGTTGGCTCTTTTTTGGAGCTAATATTTTCTCATTTAACCATCTAACTTGGAGGTGACTGTAATTGGCTTTAAAGCATATACAACATGCATTATATATATGTTTGTGTATCTAGAGAGGACTCTGTGCTGCATAATGACATCTCAATCAAGCTGACTGAATATACTTTGGTGGTCCCTTGAGATTATACTCAACCTGGGCAAGGTTGTGTGTGCCTGTAATCCTAGCTTCTTGGGTGGCAGAGGCATAGCTTAACATGGGTGAAGCCCTGGATTCAGTCCCCACTATTGCAAAACAACAACAAAAATCTTAGTTTATTTAAGTGCATTTGTAGAATTTTAATTTTTGACTGTACTGAAGTTTGAACTCAGCCCCTCACTTGCTAAGCAGGCGTTCTAGCACTTGAGTCACTTCACCAGTTGTGTAAGTGCATGCTGTGTGTTCCTATGATGATGAAATTGCCTAATGATTTTCTTGGACCACTTTCCTATCTGTAAGTAATGCATGACTGCATATATATATATATATATATAAATATATACATATATGTATATATATACGTATATATTTATATATATATACATATATGAATGTAAAAATTTGTAGATTATATATTAGTAGAATTCAGTTCAGAAAAAAATTTTTTTTTTTTGGTATTATTGGAGTTTGAACTCATGGACTCATGCTTCTTTGACAGGTGATATTCCACTTGAAACACTCTGTCAGCCCTGTTTTGTGTTGGGTATTTTCCAGATAGGGTCTCCTGAACTATTTGCCAGGTCTGGCTTCAAATTGTGATCCTTCTGATCCTTGTCTCCCAAGTAACTAGGATTGATTACTGGTGTGAGCCACTGTGCCCAGCTCGATGAACCTTTTGTTGCTTAAATTTTATGTTGTTTCTTGTCTCAATATATTTTTAACTTTGGTAGTAAACAGAGATTGAAAAATTGGAGCTTGTGGCTATATCTGGCTCTGAGATTTTTGGAGTTACTTTTCTTAAACATTAGCCATTCAATAAAGATTCTGATTTGTCACCTCAAGCCATGAGGGAGGCTGAGATCTTTAGGAGTGAGGTTCCTGGCCAGTCCACCCAAAAAAATACGGAAAAGTCCATCTCAAAAGAAAAAACCTGGGCATTGTGGTGCATGCCTGACTTTCCAGGTACAATGGAAGCATGTAGGATTTAGGTTCACTATGTCCTGGACAAAAAGTGAGATCTTGTCCCCAAATAACTAGAGCAAAAGGGCTGGAGGCCTGGTTCAAGTGTAGAGCCCTGAGTTCAAACCCTAGTACCACCGGCCCCCCAAAAATTCAGATTTTCTGCTGAACTCTAGCAAGAGTGGGCTTATATTTCTGAAGGCATATGCTCTGGCCCCGAGTAGTGGTGATTCTTTGCAGGTGAATCCTCACTCTGTAGTCTTCCCATAGTCCTTCAGACTACCTGTTGGCTCTTCCCAATCACATTTCTTGCCTGGCTCCTGAGATACTGGTTTTGCATCCTATGCTTTGTGCATCAGTACATGTGTCCAAAGATGGGAGCTCCATGGGTATATTCCCCATTGGTGAATTTGGCTCCATAGTCCAATTTCCAAATCATGAGGTTAATCAGACCTTTCAGCTCAGGCTGCACTAAGACCGCTTGTTAGTTTGCTATTTTTCTGGATGTCATACTATTTTTCTACTTCCTTTTCTGTCTTGGTATTTGGTTTGCCCTTGTCAAGTGATAAGCTGCTTTAACCATTTCACATCATTGCTAATACCCAGCCCCTTATTTGGACAGTGGGAAGAATGGATTAGAGTCCTGAAAACTTATTTTGTACTTTAGGAAGCTATCTGTCTTCAGATGTTTTCACTGATTGGGTATAGTCCAATTAAATATGACTGACATTAAAGCTAGAACAGATACCCAAAGAACTTGAAGAAGGTTTAGTAATAAGCAGTATTTGCTGTCTCTTTCAATTTATTTATTTTTTTTTGAGAAAGGGTCTGGCTAAGTAGTCCAGACTGGCCTGGCCCTGGCCATTCTGCCTCATCCTCTTAAGTGTTGAAATTATAGGCGTGTACAACTAAGCTGGCTTCAAACTTTTTTTTTTTTTTTTTTTTTTGCAGTAATGTGGCCTACACCTTAATTCACCCCATGAGCCCCTTTTTGTCATGGGTTTTTTTGAGATAGGATCTTGAGAACTATTTGCCCAGGCTGGCCTTGAACTTCGATCCTCCTGACCTCTGCATCCTGAGCAGGTAGGATTACTGGTGTGACCTACCAGTTCCCAGCCTTCTTTTTATATTTTTATTAGCTTTTGTTAGTTGTACAGGACAGTTTCATTGTGACATTTACGTATGTGCTTATATGTACCTTAATTAGATTTGATTTACCCCCTCCATCATTCTCATTCATATTCTCTCCCCTCTTTTTAAAAACTTTTTTTTTTTTTTTCATGGTTCTGTGTTTTGAACTCAGGTAATACTTTTTTTTTTAATGTGGAAATTTACAGATATATAGAAGATACAAAAAACAATGAAGTCATATATTCTCACATCTAGTTTTAGTTTTGCCATTCTTATTCCATTCCACATTATATTTTGTTTCCCAATTTTTGCTATGAAAATGAAAATCTTTTAAGGAATGGCACCACAATCATCCATAAATCTACTACCTACACTCAACATATTTTTAATATTTTGCCATATTTTATCAATATACCTATGTGAAATACTTGAAAATCTATTGCATATATCATGGGCCCATACCCTTAAATATTTCATTATGTATGTCCTAAAAATCATTTCTCTTTGTAACCACAATTCCATTGTCATAAGAGTAATTCCTAATATTACTTACTCCTGTTTGAATTTTCTGATTTGTTTCCAAAGTAGCTTTCTTAGTTTTTTTCCATGAAGGGTGTTTTTGAGATAGTGTCTTGTGAACTATTTGCCTGGGCTCGCTTCGAATAGCAATCCTCTAGATCTCTGCCTCCTGAGTAGCTAAGATTACAGGCATGAGCCACAGGTATGAGCCACTGGCACCCAGCTCCAAAGTAGTTTCTCAATACAGCTTTTTTGCTTTTCTTTGGTACTTGCTAGGCAGGTGCTCTAGTGCTTGAGCCAAGCCTTTAGCTCTCATGTAGCTTTTTTAGCCCCCTTAAAAACAGGATCCAACTATGAGCCACAGTTATATTTGGTTGTTATTGCCTTTACATTTTTTTCATTGTTTCTCTCCATTTTTAAAATTACATTGCTTTTTTGAACAGAATACACTAGTTTTCTTGAGGGAATGTATAGTGTTCTGGATGTACAGACCTTTTTTTTTTTCTTCTTGGTGTGGTGCTAGGAGAGAACCTAGGGCCTCATGCCTGCTTGGCAAGCGGCTGCCACTGAGCTACATCCCAGCCCTTCCTTGGTTTTTTTTGAGATGAGGTTTCAGTATGTAACCCAGGCTGGTCCCAAACTTAGGATCTTCTTGTCTCAGCCTTCTGAGTGCTGTGAATTTCAGATTGAGCCACCAGGCACCCACCTGTGAAACATCTTGTATTTGTGTTATAAATTTTCTGTGAATTGCAAATTAAATCTAATGGCTTAGTTAGGTTAAGATTAAACACTTTCATTATGAATAGTTAAAGAAGCCAAGATAAATGGCTCAAGCATGTAGTCCTAGCTACTCTAGGGGCAGAGATCAGAAGGATCAGAGTTCAAAGCCAGCTGGGGCAAGAGTTTGGGAGCCCCTATCTGAAAAATAGCCAATACAAAAAAAGGTTACTGGAGTGACTCCAGACGGAGCGCCTGCCTAGCTATTGTGAAGCCCTGAGTTCAAAGCCTAGTACCGCCCAAACCAAAAAAACTTTAAATAGATTATGCTATGTGACTTACTGCATCTTATCAAGGACCTTACACCACTCAAGTTGTCCAACCACAAGTGATGCAAAGTTTGTTCAGTTAACAGGGTAAGTTGGTGACTGCCAGGTCTCCACATTTAATGTTACTTTATTTTTACTGTGCAATTTGAAATAATCTATGTGATGAAATTTGGCACCATGATAATACACCAATCACTAACAATCTTCCTCTTAAAATTTTAATGACTGATGGCACTTGCCTGAATCAATTAGTATTTCACTTTGGGTTGCAGAACTGGGTGATTTTTCTAACTCTTTCATTTCTTCTACATTTACTAGATGGGACTTCTTCCAGAAACGGTTTTTCCCCTCTCAATTACTGATGAATTACAAGTTTTTCCTAAAAAAAAATTAAAGGTAAATGCTTAGTATTTTTCCTTTTAATTATGAACTTTCAGAATAAGTTACCTTCTGTAAAAGTTACCTTCAATGTGGCAAGTTAGTTTTATTTACCCTTTTTTATTTTTGGTATCAGTATATGCTATTGGATTTTCCTCCTCTCTTCTTATTCTTTCTCCACCCACCCTTTTTCCTTCTCCCTTCTTGATCCATGGCGACTGCCACCTCTCTCCGCACTTACACTTGAGGATTCCAGCTTGCCCACGAGGGGGCGTCGGTTTCCTCCCAACTTCTCGCTGCATGCTGCCGCTCTACCACACAACTCGCCATTCACTATCTATCGTTGTCTCTGTGGTACCGACGCTGTCCAAGGGGCCGCTCTAGGCTCACGGGAGGCCGTCCGCATTGCGTGGGGGAAGGTCTGGAGTACGCAGTCGCCTCGCCGGCCCCCGGGGCGGTTAGCGCTTCCGGGGTCGAAGGGTGCGCGGGGTTGAAAGCGGGCCGCTCCGCCCCGTCCCCCTCCCAGACCAGCAGAGGCAGCAGCCGGAGCAGCCGCAGCCTGCGCCCTCTCCCGCCCGCCCGCCCTCCGCCCGCCCGCCCGCCCTCCGCCGCCCTCCACCCGCCCCGGGGTCTCTTTCCCCCTTCCTCCTCCTCCTCCTCCACCCCCCCTTCCTCCTCCGCCCGCCCGCAGGGCCCCCCTTGCCTTCCCGCCCGCCCCTATTGTTCCGCCCCCGGCCTCCCGCCCTTCCCCTTCCCGCCCGCTCCCCTTTTCCCCTCAGTCGTCTCGCGCCTGCAGGTAAGCTTAAAAATTTCTCCTCCTCTCCCGGTTATGGCTCCTATTTCCAGTCATGCCATCTTTCTTAGCGGGCTCCGGCCCCAGTCACGAGCCCCGGCCTTTCCTAGTCCCGCGTGAGCGCTTACCACCTCACCCTGCTTGCCCGGCATTCACGCGAGGGCCTGGCTCCAGCGCGGCCTAGTAGGCCTTGCGCGAGGCCTGCTCCCCCCTCCCCCCGCCTTTTCCCGGTGGCGGCTGCGCAGGAGTCAAGGAGGGCGCGCGCGCGGTAGGGGGGGCGGCGGTGGATTTGTTGGTCGAGGGGGGTGGGGAGGCGATGGCCGGCTCGCTGGCCGGGCGGGTGAGCGCGGCTCCCCGCGGGGGTCAGGCGCTGGCGCAGCCACACGAGGAGGCGCTACTACTCCTGCCCCTCCCCCTGGATCGCAGCGCCCCCCCCCGACCGAGCCGTTTATTTTTTTTTCTCTCTTTTCTAATCGGGCGGTAGGGGGGCTTTTTTTTTTTTTTTTTTTTTGAGGTGGAAAATGCTTGGATGACCAAGGGAGAGGGGCTCCCAGTTACCGAGTTACTCAGGACGTTCTTTCGGGGTAACGAATTTTGAAATACAAAATGCCTGCCGATAGAAACCCAGACCAAGCTATTTATAGAGGGGTAATTGGCTGCAGGATTAAAAGTCTGGATTCCCGGGATGGGGTACACTTATTGACCTAGTCAGGAATATGACAGAGATTTCTCGGATTACTTAGATGGTTTGGAGTTAAAAATGCATCTTTGTGCTATATCTCAAGAAATGGCTTCAAATAGATTTTTAGTTTTTCTTGTTCTTTTGAACTTGTATTATGGTATTTGTAATGTGCTTCCTATTAACGGAGTTGAGACAAGGAATTAAAACTACCAGATTTTCTTTTAAAAGCATACCTTAGGAAAAAAAGAAAATCATTCTTTGGACGCAACACTTCCCCTAGCAAGTCATGTTTTTCCATGAGTGAAAAGTGTTGACTTGTGAGCTTTTGGCAACAATGAACTATTTTATGAAGCTAGGGAAGTGATGTGCTTTGAGGATGCATTTGTATATAATCACTCATGTTTTGAAGTAGGGGACACTTTCTATATACAGAATGGTGTGGCAGTTCCTTAGACACATTAAAAATATTTAGTGTATTGTGTTTTGTGGTAAGGACTGGATGGTTTTGTGAAGAGAGAGAGCCATTGATTTTGGAAGGAATGGCCACCTTAGATGTGATTAAGAAAAATTTCCCAGAATTCGAGAGACTTTTTAAAAGCTATCAGGATTAGATAGTGAGAGGAGTCTTTGAAGGCAAAGACATACCCAGAACCAAATTTATACACATAAGTAGCAATTCCAAAGCAAAAATGTTAGGAACATTGTTTCTGAAGATGGGTGGAGAAAGGGCCATTCTAGGTAGTTTGAAAGGCAGAATACTACTGTTGCTTAAAACAATTAGAAAATAAAATTTTAGCATTACCAGCTTTTTTACTTGAAATTTAAGATTTAATAGATGAATAAAAACTAAGTGGTGGTAAAGGTTGTGGTAAAGGTTAATACAGACGAGCAAGAAGAGGTTCAAATCTGAGTAGCTAGCAGGTTGGTTTGGGAGGAGACAAGGATTATTATGTTCAATATATAGAGTCATCTGAAATTAGTGCCTTTTTCAGTGAGGTTATTGAGTTATTTTAGTTCGTTGATGTCATTCATCAACATTTGAAATTTGTAATGTGGGATACATCTCTGTCTAGAAATTGCTGCCACCAAGAAAATTTATATATGTTCTCTTCTCTAGCTTTCACACTCAATTGGTTAGTATGAGGTTTGCCCAGGTGATTTTTAATACTTTTGAAGCCTATTCTGCTGAAGGACAACTGGATGCAGTTCCTTTAGAACCATTGCCGGTAGAAAGAACCTTCCTCATCCTGAGAGTCAGCGGAAACCTTATTATTAATGATCTAGTCTGTAACAGAACCTGAGCTGTCAATGTTACGCAGTTTGGGTGTGTGTACAAGTTTGGTAAGCTGTCATTTATGGAAATGAATCAGAAAACATTGATAATGATGGAAGTAAGTTTGGGAAATAATTGCTATTTTCCTCTGATTTTTTGGTCACATTTGCATTCCAGTTTTTTGGCTTTCACCCTCACCAGTGACCAAAGACTTGACCACTCAAAGTCCCGCTCCCTATAACACTGCTCGACATGGACACCGGTGTGATTGAAGGTGGATTAAATGTCACGCTCACCATCCGGCTACTTATGCATGGAAAGGTATGCAGCTTTGGAAATTGGGTCATAGTAATTGCTAGGGGCGGGGCTAGGAAGAGCAGATAAGCATCTTGGAGCTCATCAGATGAGCACTGTGGGGCATCTGGCTTTAGGACTGTTCTCTACTGGAGTGACTGTGGGGGGAAAACAGACAGATTTTATTGGGAAGCTCCAATGAGCAGGAAAAGCTTAGGTAGTGGTTAGGGCCACAGACTGTCATACCTGGATTGTAAGATTTTTTTCTAATGGACATTACTGTAGCTTGTAATAGGTAGATTTCCCAAAGAATTTTAGGAAACTAAGGGAGGAAGTCATATTTGGTGTATGCCTAAGTTTAGGGAATCAGCAGTAGGGGGAAAGAAAAGGTGGAGAGAATGGAAGTATGCTATGTATATACATATGAAGACAGCATAATGAAGCCCATCAGTCACTGTTTGGGAAAGGGGTCATGGAAATAAAATGGAGGGGGTGAACTTGTTCAAGTTATACTTTATGTATGTATGGAATTACCACAATGAAATTCACTTCTACTAATGTATGACAATTAAACAGAAAGCATATTAAACACAAAGGTAGTGCTTAATTAGTACTTACTCATGCCCATGTGATTATTCCTGCAAAAATCTCTGATAGCTTCGTTCTTAAATTCTGAGCAAAGAAGTGAATGAAAACCCCTCCCCCAAAATTTAAAATCGTCTTTTTTCCTTTGGGTTAGTAATTAGCATAGTTGGCAGTTGGTTAGCTAGACAGAAATTACATTTCATAATAATGGACACTTCTGAGTTTCCTCTTATCGACACTAGTTTTCTCCATTGTAGGAAGTTGGCAGTATCATCGGAAAGGTAAGAATTACAGTTGTAATTACTATTTAGTCAGTCAGTGCTGAAATAGCAATTGGAGCTCATACTTGACTTTTCCGTTTTACAGAAAGGAGAATCAGTTAAGAAGATGCGAGAGGAGGTAAGTAAATGAGATACTTTGGGATTGTTAACCTTGGGAAGTGTAAAAAGCAACACAGTTCTGTTTGAGAGATTAGAGAGAGACGATCTCGGAAAGGAGACTCTGTATTTTTTTTCGCAGTTACTGGGGTTTGAGCTCATGACTTGCTAGGCAGGTGCTCTACCACATGTGCTACGTCCCCTGCCCACTAGCTTGGTTATTTGTAATGATATACAGATTTCTGACAAGTCCCAGAACTCACTCAAGTCTTAAGGTAGCATTGTAGGCTATGTTTGAGGGCAAACATGTAATGATATTGATGAACATGAATAGAAATGATGGTGCCTTTAATACATAGACAGCTATTTAGGGTGAATTTACATTCTGTAAAAGTACACTTTTTGGTCTGTTAAACTTTTTTTTTCTCCTCTTACCTAGAGTGGTGCACGTATCAACATCTCAGAAGGGAATTGTCCTGAGAGAATTATCACTTTGGCTGGACCCACTAATGCCATCTTTAAAGCCTTTGCTATGATCATTGACAAACTGGAAGAGGTTTGTTACTTCTCTCAAGTTAGATTTTTATTATAATTTTATTTTCTTGGTGGTACTGGGATTTTGAACTCAGGGTTTCATGCTTTCTAGGCGGATGCATTATTGAGCCATGCCTCTGGGCCTATTTGTTTGTGCTGGGGATCAAACTCAGGGCCAAAAGCATTCTAGTCAAGTTCTGCCACTGAGGTACATACATACACTCCCAGCTCCTTTACAGTTTCTTGATTCAGTAGTTTTGAGGGCATACCATTTCTTTGGTGAGTTTTATGCCTTTTAACTTAGTTAAGTGAAATAAATTAATATGCTCTTGTTAGGGGCCTTCTGAACAAAGTAATATATCATAGCTGCAAGCCTGGTAGGCCAGGCCTCTTCCCCCCCCCCCCCCCCCCCGGCAGTGCTTGCGTTTGAACTCAGGGGTCTACACCTTGAGCCACTCCAGCAGCTCTTATTTTGTGATGGATTTTTTTGACAGGTTTTCGAACTGTTGGGTCTAACTCAATCCTCCTGATCCCTGCCTCCTGAGTAGCTAGAATTATAGGTGTGAGCCACCAGCACGTGAAAATGGGTATTTTCAAGATACGTTCTCACCAACTGTTTGCCTGCTTCCCAAATAGCTAGGATTACAGGCTCAAGCCACCAGCATCTGGCCTATGTTTTAATAAGTGTATGCTTATATTCTGTGAATATTGTGTCAAAATTATACTTAAAGGGAGAGCTCTAAGTTTTCACAGGCAAAATCACCATAGCAGATGTGTTGTTTTAAGGAAGTTTTTCCCACCACCTTCAGAAGCTGTAAAACCATTGTCCTAGGTCATGTGTTCAGCTCCTTTCTCCACCTTCTTAATTGTGCAGTTGATACATAAGCAGAAGAGTGCTGCTTTGTTGGTAGTTGGTACTTTGTGTTGACTGAAATCTTATCCTTGCATGGAGCAGATGATAGTTACCTTTTTTCTTTTTTTTTTCTTTTTGGTGGTACTGGAGTTTGAACTTTGTGCTTGTTAGGCAGGCTCTTTACTTCTTGAGTATCCCTCGAGCCTGAAAATGGTATCTTTTGACCCATAGGTCCTTGTTATCCAGAACTTGGGGCTTAAACATTTAGAAAGGGTACTGTTTGTTCTTTAACCAAATAAGAAACATGTCCTTGACTTCAAGGGCTTATATTTAAACAATTTTCAGGTCCTATTACTGAGTATAGATTAGCAATATTTAAACAGTGATTCTTCAGAAAAGCTAAGCTTAATTGGGTTCAAACTAGCTTTTTGAATGCAGCATATTATCAGAAAGACTAAGCTTTTTTTTTTTTTCCTTTTGATTATTGTGTTTTTGGTGTTGGAGGTTAAACTCTGGATGGCCTCATCCATGCTAAGCAAGCTCTACCACCTAGCTTTGCCCCAACCCCTAACAGTCTTTGTATTTTAAGACTTTTATTTTATTTTGGCAGTATTGTGGTTTGAACTCAGGTTTTTTGAGGTAAGGGCTCTCTGCTTGCTTGGACTGTTCTTGAACTTGAAATACTCCTGCTTCTGCCTCCCCACCAGCATGTAACACCATACCCAGCTGTTAAGTTTTATTATTATTATTATTTAGTGGTACTGGGGTTTGCATTTGCCCAATGCTTGGAAGGCAGGCACTCTACCATGTGAGCCACTCCTCCAGCTCTGAGCTTTTTGAAGCAAGTACTCTTGAGCCTCGATTTCATTGTCAACATAATGGTACTATTACCCGTAAATAAAAGCTATGCTGTAGACTACTTCAAGGTTTTCTAGTTTCTAATTTTGTAAATTTTTTTGGAAGCAGTCTCACTATGTAGCACAAGTTGGTCTTAAACTCCCAGTCCTCATGCCTCAATGTCTAGGGATTACAGTTGTGTACCACCCTACCTGGCTCATGCATTGTTTTTAATTTTCTAAGAGGAAATTGGTTTGATTTGGGTTGCGTTTTTTTCATCTCCCAATATTTAGATAAAATTTTTGTCGGTACTGGGATTTGAACTCTGAGCCTCATGCTTGCTAGGCAGGTTCTTGAGCTCTTCCACCAGCCCTTTTTTGTGTAGGGTATTTTTGACATAGGGTCTCACTAAACTCTTTGCCTGTTCTGGCTTCAAATCTGATCTCTGTCTCCCGAGTAGCTAGAATTACAGGTATTGAGTCACCGGCTCCCAGTATTTAGATTTATTTACTTTAGTGCTAGAGTTTGAACTCAGGGCAAGAACTCTTAATACTGAATTAAATTCCCAATTATTTTTTGGGGGACATGGTTTGTCTGTGCAGCCCAGGCTGGCCTAGAACTTGCGATCTTCGTGCTGGAATTATAGGTGTCTACTACCATACCTGGCTTAGAAAATTTTTTCTTTTTTGTTAATATTGGGGTTTGAATCTTGTGCTTTCTAGGCAAGCACTGTCATTTGAGCCACCCCCCCCCCGCCCCGCCCCAAAACCAAGCTTAGAAGTTTTACTCTACTTTGTTTGTGGGTGGTACATGGTATTTTGAACCGATGAAAATAAAGTTACATCCATTATAAGGTGAAGAGCAAGTGGTTCTTTTAAGGATTTGCTTAAACTTGCATATTCTGGTTGTTCTGATCAATTTTCTTTTTGTAGGATATCAGCAGCTCTATGACCAATAGCACAGCTGCCAGTAGACCCCCAGTCACTCTAAGGCTGGTGGTCCCTGCTAGTCAGTGTGGCTCTCTCATTGGAAAAGGTGGTTGCAAGATCAAGGAAATCCGAGAGGTTGGTGACTTCTGTTCATTTTAGGAATGCTTCTATTAGCTCTTGTTATGTCTAGGAAAAGTTAGCATTTGATGAGATGAGGACTCATCTCCTAAAGAATATGCTGTAATTGTTACTGGAATAAAAGTATAGAATTAATTTTTTTTTTAACACAACTCAGATTTTATAACATTTTTGTGATACTATGGATTTAACCCTGACCTCTGATATCACTACTGGAATAAAGGTGGTGTTTTTTTTTTTAAACACAATTCATAGATTACACATTTTTTTTTTTTTCTTGGTTGGTCTGGGTTTTGAACTCAGGCCTTTGTGCTTGCAAACCAGGTGCTTTACTACTTGAGACACACCTTCAGTTCATTTTGCTCTGGTAAATTTTGAGATGGAGTCTCTCAAACCCTTTGCTCAATCTGGCCTCGAACTGCCAAAATCTTAGCGTTCCATCTAGCTAGGATTATAACTATGAGCCATCAGTGCCCAGTAATATGACGTGGTGTCCCTGGGTGGGCTTGAACTACCAACCTTTTGGTTAATAGCTGAACATGTTAACTGATTGCACCACAGAGAGACACTTACAAACTTTTCATGGTGCTGTGAATTGAACCCAGGGCTTCATGCATACCAGGCAGGTCTTCTACCACTTCTACAGTCAGTCTCTCCCTCCCCATTTTGTTTTTTAGAGAGGTGTTGATATGTTGCCCAGGCTCGTCTGGAACATCTAGATTCAAGCTATCCCTCCTGCCTTAGCCTCTGAAGTAGCTGGGACTACAGTGTGCACCATCGTGCTTAGCTCATTTAATTAAGTCAGAATATGACAAACTTAACCTGAATTTCTAACTACTGCATATAGTTTCCATTTCTTTAGCATGCTTGCATAATTTAGCAACTCTTCGAAACTCTTTGAGACTGCGTAATTCTTTTCCATAATTAAAGAGCATAAGGCCAGGCAGGTGCTTCATCTCGTTCCTATAATCCCAGCTACCTGGGATGCAGAACTTGGGAGAATTTCTGTTCCAGGACAGCCCTGATAAAAAGTTAGACCCTGTTTCAACACAGGAGCCAGACATGGTGACATTCCTATAATTCCAGCTATGAGGTGATAGGTAGCATCATGCCAGCCCTGGCAAAAGAGGCATTATCCTATCAGAAAAATAAGCAAAAAAGGACTGGTGTGGTCTGGTTCAATAATTGAAGTTAAGTTGAATTGAACTTTGGAAGCTTTTAGTTGCATCTGGGGTTACTGAATTTGTGGTCGGAGTGAAACATGAATGATTCCTAACAGAATCATTCTTTGATTCTAGTTGGGGAACCTGCTGTAAATGCTGTGAGAACAAAATCTTGATTTTGATTGTTAGAATCAATTGGAATGGTGCCTAGTACATAGAATGAGCTTTGTATAAATATTTATTCAATGAGAATTAAAAGTGGATTTTATTTGTTTGATTTTTGTTTGGCACAAACACTATCAATAGCTGAGATTAAAAACTTACCTAGGAGGACATTTTTCATGAGAGCAGGTTAAATTTAGGCTGCTATTCAGATTTATTCTTGTCTTTTAGAGGCTAATTTATTTTTAACTCCCATTAAGCAGTACTGTCTGGAATGAGGAAAGAATGGGAAGGGAGAAAGAAAGAGGAAAATAAGTATCTACTGAGCTTTAGACTCTTAAGATTTCTGCTGTGTGGAATTGGAAGAATATGAGTTGTTTTTCTCTGATTTCTAATTTCTTTTTGCCATAAAGAGTACAGGGGCCCAGGTCCAGGTGGCAGGGGATATGCTCCCTAACTCAACTGAGCGGGCCATCACCATTGCTGGCATTCCGCAATCCATCATTGAGTGTGTCAAACAGATCTGCGTGGTCATGTTGGAGGTAAGCCCTCAGGCTCATGCTGAGAGTTGGGGGAGGGTGCTTCTTGGGACAGAGGAACTGATCTATATTTAGAAAGACTAGAATTAGGTGAAACTGTTAGAAGGCTCCAATGATGGGGGTAGGGAAAGAGGTTCCTGGAGTTCATATTTTCTTTTCCCTAGCTTTGATTTTTCTTATGGTTTATGAGCAAAAATAGAATCTACTAAGCAGCCACTGCTTAGTAGATTGGTTCAGAGCAATTCTGTTGGAGTTGATAGGGGAATTGATATTTGAAACAAGTGGACAGAAGATGCATTTGGGTTTCTGAAAAACTAAATTACCTTTTGGGTTGCTATATTTTGATTACATGGAACTTTGACCCATTCTTAATTTATTTGAAGCAGGATATATTCAAAATAATAGTTACATAGAATAGAAAAATCTATGGTTTATTTTTGAATGCCTTTCGAAGTTCTGCTAATAGATAAGACTTTTTTTTTTTTTTTTTTTTTCCCCTTTCAGTACTGGGGCTTGAACTAAGGGTCTATACCTTGAGCCACTCCACAAGCCTTTTTTTGTGATGGTTTTTTTTGAGATAGGGTTTTGTGGACTATTTGCCCAGGTTGGCTTTGAACCTCAATCCTTCTGATCTCGCTAGGATTATAGGCTTGAGCCACCAGCACCCAGCTAGATAAGACTTTTTAAAGTTAGTGTTGGTCGCATCCCCCATCTTTTTTTTTTTTTTCCAGTGGTGGGCTTGTAACTCAGGGCCTCATGTTTTTTTAGGCAGGCACTGTATACCATTTGAGCCACTCCACCAGCCCTTTTTTGTGTTAGGTGTTTTTGAGATAGGGTCTCTTGAACTATTTGCCTGGTGCCCCACCCTATCCTATATTAATCAGAAAGGAAAGTGTAATTTCCAAGTAAGGTTAGCAAAATCTGCTTTGGGCCTTTGAACTAGACAGTGAACTATCTTTTGCATAACATTGGCTACTTTATTTTCATTGGCTTTATTTCCTAATTTTCTACTCCTCCCAAAATGTATACATAGTTTCTTTTTTTTTTTTTTTTTTTTTGTACTAAGGTTTAGAACTCGGGGCACAGTGCTTTACTTTAGTAGGCAGACTCTGTGTACCACTTGAACCACTCCACCAGAGCTGTTTTGTGTTGGATATTTTTGAGATAGGGTCTCCCTTCAAACCTTGATCTTTCTGTTCTCTGCCTCCTGAGTAGCCTACTAGCTGGAGCCGGCTAGAGATGTTTTTTCTTTGTGCTCATTAAATTTTTTTAAAATATGAAAATAGTGCCTTGAGAATCAATGTGAGCCATGGAATCCATGGACTGTATTTCTCATTTAAAGGTAAATACCCACAAATACTTGGGACTACTTTGATACCAGAGACAACTTGATGGGTGAGGGGACAGAACTAGTAATTTTTAATTTTACTGACCTGTGTGTGCTAAAGCCACACAGATGAAGCAGTTTTGAAACCTTATCTCTTTTTGTTTTTTTCCCCTCTGACTCTCTCCCAGTCCCCCCCGAAGGGCGTGACCATCCCGTACCGGCCCAAGCCGTCAAGCTCTCCAGTCATCTTTGCAGGTGGTCAGGTAAGAAAATTTTTATTGGTGGGCTACATTGAACAGATTATATTTGAAATGTCGTTTGCCAGCAGCACACCAAACCACTCTGCATGCTTGCTGAAACCTGTACTCTGGCCACAGTTTGACCTGCTTTTTTGTTGTTGTTGTTGTTTTTTGGTACTGGAGAAACCCTTGAATGCCAAGCCCCTTATTTAGTTTTTTATCTGGCAATGGAAGTTTTGTAGGCACTCACTCCGAGGAGGTAATTTACTTGCTAATTTAAGAAGGGTTGGGCCAGAAGAAAGACTTAAATTACCTCAGTGCCTATCCCTACCCTTTCATGCTTTTATATGGATGGGAGTAATCTTTAGAGGTCTGAGTAAAGGGAGCAAAGAGTTTGGCCTCTGGATATTCTGGATGCTGGTCTCAAATTTGGGGCTCTTGAACTTGAGTGACCTACAAACTTCTCCTTCCCTCCACCTCACCTCCCCTACTCCTATCCCTTCACTCCCAAGCTCCAGTGTGTTGTCCACCAGGCTTTTAATCTCATAAACACTGGTTTGAACCCACATGGCATAACTGAAATCAGCTGGGGTAAGAGTTCAGCGTGCAAGAATAGTTGGGGAGAGCATGTTGGGCCATGGATGACCAAAGGCATCCCTTTGGTGCCTCTACTCCTTCCTTACCAACCTAAACTCTTCATCTTTGACACATGGTTTATTCTGAAGTTAAGATTTGTCTAAGAACATTGAGAAGCACCATGGTCATTTTATGCTTTGATGGTTAGTGTTTGAGGAATAGGTAGGCTAGTTTTTAACATACTGGGATTCGAGTTGGAATAGTGACCTTCGTTTTGGTAGCTGAATGAGTAAGTAGTGTTCAAAGAGCATTTTCCCATTTGGGACTGGCCTCTTAACAAGGATTTTTACTTAACTAGTTCCGTGTGTTTGTATTTGTTCTGGATGCCATTTAGGGGGAAGCATAAAATTGGAGTCCATCTCATTCACATTGTACTGATTTGGCATAAAATTTACAGGTTTGGGGAACTTGGTTATGTATTCTGGGAGCTTTTACAGCAAGTTATGTTTCTTATCTTGAGGCAGGTTAGTACTTTGCTTTAGCACTAGTCTTGTACAAACTGGTTTAGTCAAAGGGCTCTCAGTCTAGATAGATAGTTGGGCAGGATAAGCAAAGGCTCAGAGTCAGTGTAGCCAGGAGGGTTAGCTTTAGAGTTTTCCCTTCTCCCCTGGAACTCAGATTCCTGCTTTTCTGGATTCTTTCACTCCAGGAGTCCTATGCTGTGTGGCACCAATCCTCTCTTACAGTTCCATCCCTTACTCCTCTCCCTATTCAGCCTTCCTTTTCATACCTCTTTGCTTCCCTCCCCATCCCCCCTTTATTCAGTTGACCACCCTCTAAAAGCTTGCATCTTCTTCCATGAGTTGCCCTGCAATGGGCCATTCCAATGGGCCTTTTTAAATGGACCAGTTCATACAATGTCCACAGATGGACCTCTTTTGTTCTTTGAGGCAAAGTGGACTCTGTAGGGGTTCAATTTAATCCCACAGTGACCAGGAGCTGACATTAGCACTGTTGTCCCACCCCTTCATTTAGTTGTGCAGTGTGAAATCTGCCACTAGGTAATTTTTTTTTTTAATTCACTGCAGCTCGTTTCAGATCTGTGTTATGAGCTCCTTTTTAAAGGAAAGAGGATAAAAAATAAACAACTTTTTTTTTGTGTGAATTTCATGCTGGTGACAAGGTGCCGGATTGACAGCCCTGGAGACTGAAATCCTCTATTTATCCACAGGACAGGTACAGCACAGGCAGCGACAGTGCGAGCTTTCCCCACACCACCCCGTCCATGTGCCTCAACCCTGACCTGGAGGGACCACCTCTAGAGGTGAGAGGGGATGTTCAGTCTCCAAGGCTCACTCAATCCTTCCGCCTCAGCCGAGACTGCCAACACACGGGGGGCCAGTGGCGATGGTGATTTTTGTGCTGTGTTCACCACCTGTCCACGGGGACCTGGACTGACCCCCCCAACTCATTTCACACAGGCCGCGTAGCCCACCAGATGGTAACACCAACTTTTTTTTTTTTTTTTTTTTTTTTAAAAAATTTTATTTTTTTATTTTTTTATTTTTTGTTCAATCCCTTTACCCCTCCCACTCCTCCCATCCCATTTTCACCTTCCCACCCCGACCTGGGTATAGTTTTGGGGATACTGGCCACTGATGTGAGAAGCTTCACATCTTATTTCCAGCCACTTTCCTTCCTTTCCCCATTTTCCCATTATCATTCCTTCCCCTCCCTCTGTTGCACTAAAGACCCAGCTCCCTTTTGGGAGGTTATGGTTTTGGGGGAGGTGTGGGAGCTTGAGTGATATATTTTTTTTTTTTAAATGAAGGGAAGGTGGGAGGAGGCAGAATTTAGAGCCCAGTGATTTGTGAGCGAGAGAGAGAGAGAGAGAGAGAGAGAGAGAGAGAGAGAGTGTGTGTGTGTGTGTGTGTGTGTGTGTGTGTGTGTTCGTTCCTGTGGTTAGTTCCCTAAGGTTAGGGACCCAGATAGCTTTCAGTACACGTAAGGTCTTCAGACAGATGTAGGAAAATAAGTTATGGAAAAGAGAAGTGTTTTAAGATATGCCATGTAGGTTTGTACAGATAAAAATCATTCACATCACCGTGATTAGTAGAAGAGTTGAGGGTGAGGGAAGAGATCATTTTCCTTCGTTGGCTATCTTGTATTATAGGGAGGAAAGGGGAGGGGACTTGGTCAATTGAGGCATGGCTTAATCTCACTTCGCACATTTTCATTAAGAAGCAGATAATGTATATTTTCCTTGATTGAAGGGGACTTGGCTACTTTTATAGGATCCCTGAAATAAAGTCATTATACTTAAGGTTCAAATAATGCCAGCTCAGATCTGACTATATTTGTGAGATTCCATCTAGTGCCTCAATCCCTGGTTTCCCCATTCTCCATTTTCTAGTTCAATTCCGGCTTCCTGGCTGGTTGAAATCTGTCTCCTCCCCACCTCCTTCCCCACTGGGTGGCTGTCCGTGATTGGTTTTTAATAGGAACTGTTTTCCTCCTTTTGTAGGCCTATACCATTCAAGGACAGTATGCCATTCCACAGCCAGATGTAAGTTTTGTTTTCACTTCTTGTTTTGAAAAGCTCCCTTTCCATCCAAAATTGTCTGGTTCCTTTCTCCCCAGTAGGCAGAAGTGAGTTGGGTCTTAAACATTTGCAATATTAAGTTGTCAGAACGTGAAGCAGGTTTCATTCCTTAAATGATCTAGTAGCACCTTGTTTACCTTTTGACACCTAACCTCTAGAAATAATAATTTAGTAAATTATCAGCTTATTTCTCATGTGTCAGATTACTCTGTCTAAAAGAAAAATGTTACGTGGTACACTGTCATTTGTATTTTGGAGTATAGTTTAGGTTGACAGTGGACTATTTTTCCTTGAATGGGGTATTCCTCTTTCCATGGGGGGAGTGGGAGGTTGGGTTTGCCCTTGGATGGTCCTCAATCTGAGATGGCTGGCATGTTTAAAAAGCATTGGGGGGAGAGTTACACAGGGAGACTAGGAAGCTGAACATTTGGTGATTCAACACAAACCTACCTTGTCGCTAAAAACTGTTATATAAAATGTTGGTATTTGGACTTTGTCTAAAGGCATTTCTTTCTGCACTCTTTATCTTTACTAACCTTTTCAGGTGCTGAGCATTAGATTTGGAAAGTTGAGTTTGGTTCTTGGTTAGTGGTAGGCCTCAGGAGAGGTGGAAGTAGACCTGAAGAGTGATTATTTTACACCAGCCAGGACATATTTTTTGTTGTATTGTTTTTTGGATTTTTTTTTTTTTTTTTTTGAAAACGGGGTATCCATACATAGGCCAAGATGACTCCCTGCCTCCCAAGTACTGGGATTATAGGCCTTCTACATAAACTGGCTCAGCCAGAATAGTTTATGCATATAAAGAAAAGTATTTTTAAGCCTAGTTTGGTTTCTTCTTAAACTCTTCCTTGCAGTCTCCCTGCCCCCCTCATTTCCTTCCTTCTCCCCAATACTGGTGGATCCCTGCATGGTGTGTTTTCCCTAGCACCACTGCACAGTTTGTTTACCTAGCCTGTCTGCTTGTCCTTGGGGCAACTGTTGCACTGGCTGCAAACACCTTCATTAAGTAGTCCACAGAGGATGGTTGTTGGGCGGGTGCTATTGCGTTCCTTTTCACATAATCACAATGTATTCATTCTCTTATTATACTGACACCCCTTGTTTTTCTAACTTTTACCCTTCATATTCTGTCTATCCCTAGGATTATATTTTAATCCCCATCCATACCCTCTGTTGTAGTTGGAGTAGCAGAGTCAACCTTGGGGACCAGGAGCTCTGCATTTTCACATCTGAATGTGCTTGAGTTCTGGCTGCGTTAAACTTTTCTAATGTCAGCCTCTCTTGTTTCCTTCCTGCAGTTGACCAAGCTGCACCAGTTGGCAATGCAACAGTCTCATTTTCCCATGACACATGGCAACACCGGATTCAGTGGTACGGATACCTCAGTGTTTATTTCTGTAAGGTATAGTGCAAGACAGAGACCAGTCCCTAGGTCTCAGCTTGACATCTGTTTTAAAACAAACTTCCGTTACCCAGCATCCTGCTGGTTTAAACTTGTCCTGTCTACTATGGTAAACCCAAGGAGGTAATGTGTTTGTTAACGTGGTTTTCATTTGGGGTGAGTTATTCTAAAAGAAAAAGGGCCCTGGAAGGTTTGGGGTGAGATCTGGGGATGCTTGTCAGGCAAAGGGTAGGCTGATATTTCTTGTAACCCATCCTAACTGCTGCCCCCTTCGATCTGATCAGCACCCCCTTTCTCTCCACCAGAGACAATCCATTTGTGCCAAATTGTGTAGTGTTTTTTTTGTTTTGTTTGGTTTTTTTTTTTTTTTTTTTTTGGGCTTTTTTTTTTTTTTTTTTTTTTTTTTTTTCTGTATAAGGAATAACTTGTCCGATAGGGTTAGGATGAGACCACCAAACTCATTTTCACTTGTATCTTAACAGGCATTGAATCCAGCTCTCCAGAGGTGAAAGGCTATTGGGGTAATGATTAAAAAAAAAATCTGTAGTATTCTACTGTTATATTAATAAACTGGTGGGAGTCTTGTTTCACTGCCCATGATCCATACACCAGCAACATTCACATGGCAGAGAGGAGCTGAGAGAGCAAAGGGGTGGGCCTGGTGCCCCTTAGGGTCCCTTGATGGATCTGGCTAACCCCCTTCTAAAAAAGCAATTGAAAGAGTTAGGTTTGTGAAGGTTAGCCAGCTGGCCTGGTCCAGTCTAGGCATTATTAATAAATGGGATGGTGTTTGCTGATGAGATTTTTTTTTTTGTTGTTTTTTCTTTGGAAAACCAAACAAAAGCCAGAACAAATTGAGCAAAAGATAGGGAATAAATCTGAAGACATGAACTCCCCTCAACCTAACTGCCATTTCATTTTATTTGACCTTTAAGCATAGGTTAATAGGATAGAAATGGAGGGTGTAATCTGATAACAGGTGTCACTAAAGCAACTATACATGTGTGCCAAAAGCCCATGGTACCCCATAACAACAGGCATGATATTAGCACTGGTGCTAGTGAGTATTGGAACACAACAGCAGGAAATCCTAAGCAGAAAAGGGGTACAGAAGGAATGATGTTTAGATTTTGATCCTGTTTGAGAATACCACACTCCTTTGGCCCTTGTTTCCATCCCCCCTACTCCTAATAGTCTGGGCTTTGCAGGAAATGGCATGAAATCAGCTTTTCTCAGTGTACAGAAGAACCTTTCCAGCATTATTCTACACCCCTCTCCCCCCCCTTTCCTCCTTGGAGGCTTTCAAGTTAGTGATGAATCCCAACAGCCAATGCTGGGTTTCCAGTTTATTTCCTTCTGTTAGTTTAATGTGCAAATCATTGTGGTTTTGAATGCTGTGCATTGAACTTTTTTGCTCTCTTCTGTCTTTTAGCAGGTTTGGATGCATCTGCTCAGACTACTTCTCATGAACTCACCATTCCAAACGATGTAAGTATAGTTAATCGGCTTGCATGGGATAAAAATGAGACAACTGGTTAAAATTGTAGAAAAGAGGGTTTTTGGTCACTAAATTAAAAATTTTAAAATACATAGAATTGTGAATAAAAACTCGTAAATTCTACTTTTTTTTTTTTTTTTTGTCAATACTGGAATTTGAACTCAGGGTCTTGTGCTTGATAGGCAGGTGCTCTATCATTTCAGTTGTACACCCCCCCCGCCCCCCCCCCCCCCCCCCCCCCCCCCCCCCCCCCGCCAGTACAAACTTGATAGAAAAGATTGACATAATGATTGTGGGGAATCATCACATGGCCGAATTAACCTTTTTTTCCTCATTTAGAAATTCCTGTTTGCCTTTGTTTTTTTGTAGAATCTGGAGTTTTATCCTTAAATGCATTGGGTGCAATGGTCCTTGAATGTTAAATCTGTGTTGTCCAACATTGTAGTTACTGAAACCACATGTGACTATTTGGGTTGAATAAGAAATTATAAATTCAATATCTCAGTCTCAGCCACAGTTCAGGTGCTCTGTAACCAAATATTACTGTTTATAGCAACAGGCAGTGCAAATATAATTTTGTTTCTTTTTCTAAGGCGAAAGCTTTCAAAATTTTGGAGAACTCTTGTCTATGTAGTAAGGTGATAATCATGGCGGGATGAATTCTAAACATTTTGACCATGAAAACTGAAGGCATCTTTATTTATTCCTAGTCATCTAACTAGGTGTAATATTTTCTTGGCCCTGGCTTATTTTGTCTTTGGAGTCAGTACTCTTGAGTATAGAAATAATGATGAGCCAATGCTTAGACTTAAGATTTAGTTTGAAGTTGGCTCTAACCTGTTCCTGTTCATACAGAAAGGTAACTCAGTAGTTGACCAGAAATATATGGATAGAGATTGTAGAATGTAGGTAATAGTTTCCATTGCTATAGTTTTAAACAAATTGTAGAAGCTAGAGTGTGATATGATGGAAATCTTGTACCTAGCCATACAATTCTTAGTTTGGTATGCTTTTTTTCCCCTCTCCTTAAGTTGATTGGCTGCATAATTGGGCGTCAAGGCGCTAAAATCAATGAGATCCGTCAGATGTCTGGGGCGCAGATCAAAATTGCGAACCCAGTGGAAGGATCTACTGACAGGCAGGTTACCATCACTGGATCTGCTGCCAGCATTAGTCTGGCTCAATATCTAATCAATGTCAGGTAAGGTTGCCCTTCCTTTTGCCTTATTAATTCTAAAACAGTAGTGTGTATGTTGGGAACATTGCAATATACTGTTAAATGTGGGATTACTGGGTGGATGGAGAAATATGGCAAAAAATCTTTTTTTTTTTTAAATAAACTTCTGCCTTGTTCATCTCTGACGAAGCAGAAAAAATAACCAGATTGCAGTAAGTTTGCATGGGGTGGCATAGATTGCTTGTATTTGACTTCTGATGGTTTGGGGATTGGAAAGGTAGGTGTATATCTTCACTAATAGGACAGTGCTCTGGCTACAGCAGCCATACTGTTAAAATACACTTTCTCTTGCTTTACATGTCATGTAGATTCATTGATTTGTGATTTGTTTTGGAGTCCAAAGCACCTTTTATTGAGGATAATGGAGTAATGATACATCAAAGCAGTTTCTTTGGAGACAGCCATTCCATTTACTCTGCAAACATCCATTTTTCTCAAATTGCAAGTGTGTTCCATTGTTCAGAGCTTGTGGGAAAGGGGGATACACAAGTATAGGAACGTTCAGAAAAAATGCCAGGTGTAATTTCAATCTCATTGTTCCCTCCATTTTCATCCCTTAATGACTTCCTGTGGTTTTATTTCCCTTTTTTCACACCTAGGTAATACTATACTTAAAATTGTAAAACAACTTTTGATCAAGTGAGCATCCTGCAGGTTGCTTACATTTCTTAGATCATGAGTTTAAGTTACAATCTTAAATGCTTACTGACATTTTGAGCCAGTGTTAGCCCATTTCCCAGGGGCCTTTGATAACTCTTGTTGGGGACTGATGCCTGCCGCTCTCATTTACTTATCTCTTAAAAACTTGGTGTCTTGTACATAAATGTTGTACAATTTCCTGAGTATAGTAGAAGTGAATTATTAAATACAAGTCTATATTTTTGTCATGTTGGTTCTGATCACGTATTTATGTCATGATTCGTAGTTGAACACTTGTCAATTCTGTAGTTCTGCTCCTGGCATTTCCCTCAGTTGCCTTGAAGTACTTCTAGTCTCTATGTAGAAAAGATTTACTACATCTACATTAGCTTCTCTTGCTCAGCTACCGAGCACATCAAGTCCTTAAATGTTCAGAGTAAAATGTTTGTTTCTATACAGAAGCTGTTTGCAAAGATTGGTGTTCTTGTTTCTAGTTGGGAAGTTTTATGTGGCAGAAATCATGCTCCTGGAATCTGGAAATTATCTTCTGATTTGGGTAGACTTGCCCTGAACATAGTTCAAATTGTGGACAGGTAGTTCAAATTGTGACAGCTTAAATGTGACCTGCTTGCTGCCTGGCCTTTATAGTAGGTCAGTGGTGCTGGTGGAGTGCCTCAAATGGTAGAGTGCTTGCCTATAGTAGGTCAGTGGCTACATTTTAAGGAAACAGAACTTTTCTTCGAGTCACTCTTCCCAGGATTATTTTATTGAATAGCTGACTATTCAGTAACATCCTATTTAAGGAAATTGTCCAAGCTATGGATTTGGGTTAGGACTTAATTTATTTAAAACCAAAGTAAGAAATAGGCACAAAGCTTGCTCTTCTACCTTCTTATCTTGGCCCAGTTTAAATGCAGAAAGTCAAACCTTTTATTATTAGGCAAGAAACATTTATCTGTTTTCATTAATGAATTCTGAGCATTTCTGTTACCCTCTTTGAGTGTTCATTGTAGTATTCTTGGTCTTTTCTATAGTTGATTACTGTGTCCCTCCCTTACAGATTACAGCTGACCCTGAGTGAGGTAAACAAAATAAATGTACTGTAAAGAGGCACTTTCCTTCCCTTGGTGAAGTAGCTTTGTTGGGCAGATTGTATAGATAAACCTCAGCAAATATCTGCAATTCTGGCTTAAACTCATAAAGGCAATTGGGAGATGTTAATCATTTTTATTTGGAGACTATTTTAGGAATAGAAGCTACTTTTCTTAACGTGAATGTTTTGGTAGTGCTTGAATTTTTCTCAGTTCTATAAAGACATTAGAAGTATTGTCAATTAAAACAAAGAGCCTTTAATACTTCTTACCTTCTCCCACCAGAAGTGCTTCCCAATTCTTAACTACATTTCTGTTCTTAGCATTTCTTTAAACTTTGAAATTAGTCAGTGACCTACTTTGGACTCTTGCCCCTTTTCCATCATAATAATTTGGTTCATTTGCTGTGGGGGTGAAAGTAGATTTTAATATTCAATATGGAGAAAAATGTTGGGCTGGGATGAGTTCAAGGTCAGCCTGGCTGCACCTAAGTATAACCTAAAAGCATAACCTTAAAAATTTTCACAAGTAATTGTTGCATAATTGATTTTCCATTAGAAATGGAAATTGACACATTATTAGAAGGAATCATTTCACCCTTTTTTGAGTAATCTTTTATTTTCTACCATAAATCATTCTTTTCAGTGTATCACATACTTGAAAGTATGTGCTGTATATGATTTCCTTCCCTCAGTCAGATTTTTCTTCACTGAAGTGATTTTAAAATTGGATTGTGGAATGGAAGGTGGCAAAGTATAAATAGAGGGTGGGTCGCAGACTAAGAGACAACTTGTCAACAAGTTGATATTAAATCTTCCTAATTGACAACCAGAGGCACTTACTGATATGACTTGAAGCAGTTTTTGTCCTGTACTTTTTCCCTATTGTGGTCTTCCCTTCCACCCACCCTTTTTTTTTGTTCCTTTTTTCCTCTGTTACAGTTTAGAAAACGCTAAACCCTCCTCCCAGGCAGCCTCCGTCACGATCCCTGATCACCTCAGCATCAACCTCTCTCAACCCTCCACCCCTTCTTCTTCTTCTTCCTCCTCCACCACCACCCCCTCGCTCGCCACAGCGGGGACCTCCGACGCACCCTCCAGCCTCCCCAACCCTCTTCCGACCGCCCCTTGTGTCTCCAGTCTGCTTGGCATGAAACCCATCCCTCTCCTGGCTCTAAATGTTGTGTCTGCTGCTAAGGGTACCGGGGCTTCAGCTGCCACCACCACCACCTCTGCCGTGCCATGTGTAACTAACAAACTGAAAGGCGAGAAACAGAGATTCTCCCCCTACTGAGTGCATATCTTGAGGCACCTCCTAAAGTGTTTATTGGCTCATTTTGTTTTCCTTTGTTAATATTGGTGAGAACCAAACTATTGTGAGCTTGTTACCGTCTTACTACTTTGGGGGATAACTGGGTGTGGGGGGGAACCAGGGGTAAAGGTAATCCTTGTTTAGGTTTAGGCCATTTCAGCAGAGTGCCTGTTTCAGAGTCTGACATGTTGAAATCTTTATCTAGAGCCACAGTTCTTACTCTTTCTCATTCTGTTACCTTTTTTTGTAGCTTTATTCTGCCTTGCTATATAATACTGTGTTAGGCTCTGTGTTAATGAATAAAAGCTTCTCCATTAACCTTTTTTTTTTTTTTTTAATTATTTAATGGTTAAGCTATCAGCAGGCCTTATTGGCCAGATTTGTGTTTCTAGCGATAATAAAGTTGCCACAGTAAGAACCTTAGTTCACCATGCGTGTGCTGTGACGGGTAAAAGGGTGGGCATTTGTGATGTGTGGCTAGTCAACTTGAAAGTGTGTACAACTGAATTGGGCTTTACTGTATCCAGGTTAATTTTTTTATAATTCTTTGTCAGTATTCCCACAAAAAGAGAAGGGCCTTTGGCAATTTAGATACTAAGGTTCCTTCAGAATTGGCAAGAAGCTTCAGCAGACAGTTTCTTAGATTCCTTACCTTGCCAGCAGCATCAGGTAACAGGGGTGTCCATCCCAGGGTGTTTGCTCTGGTGAATGGCTACTGTGAGGCTCTCTCCTAAGACATACATACAAAGAACTTACTTCTTTTACCCAGAATGGTGGGTAAGTGGGTAAGTCAAAGTTAGGCAACTTCTGTCTACACTCCTCTTATCAAACAGGAAGTTTTTGAACACCAACCTGTGACATTACCCAGAACTTGACAGAATATTTAGTGGTTACCCTAAGTTAAGTCTTGATCAGTCAGGCAAAGTTCTTTTACCTTTCTGTTTCCTGTGTACCTTCTCACAGACATTGTCATGAATAGGAAATTATATGCTTTTGAAAGAACCTTAGGGATTCACTAGCCATCAGACCTGTTCTTAGCAAGAAAAAAATTAAAAATAAATTAGATTGTGTAAGTGACTGACCAGAACTAATAGTTTCTTTTTCTTTCTTTCTGTCTTTTTTTCTTTTTGGTAGTAGTTTGGGTTTGAACTTAGGCTTGCTTCATGCTTGCTAGATAGGCACTCGACTACTTGAGCTGTGCCTCCAGCCCCAGGACTAATAACTTTTGCTTCATTCAGTGTAATTGCCTCTGTGATTATTCATTCCCCTCCTCCCCTCAATTATTCATTTTCTTTTTTGGTGTTGGGACTTGAACCTAGTACGTGCATAATGTGCTCTACCACTAAGCTACACTTCCAGATGCTTTTGTACACTTTTATTTCTTTTGGTGGTATTGGCATTTGAACTTTGGGCCTGATGCTTGCTAGGCAGGCGCTCTACCACTTGAGCTATTCCTCCAGCCCAGTTGTTCACTTTTTTATCTCAAGATGGAAACATGTCTGTTACCATAAAAGAATAGAGATGATGGGCTGGGGGAGTCAGCTTAGGCAGTGATAGAGCATTTGTGAGGCTCCAGGTTTGAGCCCCAAGACGGTGGAAAAACAGTAATAAAATTAGAATTCTCTAGATCTTATGGCAGAAGACCTCTTACTTTTTTCCATTCAACCAGAATCTTTTCTTTTTTGGGTGGTACTGTGTCTTGAACTCAGGGCCTACATCTTGAGCCACTCCACCAGCCTTTTTTTTTTGTAATGGGTTTTTCAAGATGGGGGTCTCTGAAACTTTGCCAGGGCTGGCTTCAAATCACAATCCTCCTGGATCTCTGGGATTACAGACATGAACCACCAATGCCCGGCTTCTTTCTTTTGGTAAGGGTGATAGAACCCAGGGAATCACACCACTTGAATGCTCTACCACTTGAACTTCAGCCTCCACCTCCTCTTGGGGATTATATTTTATTTTTGAGTCTTTGCCCTGGCTGGCATCAAACTCAAGATTCTCCAGCCTCTCTCCTGAGCTGCTGGGAATTAATACCTGGCACCACCATACCTGACTTCAACCAAAGTACATTATACAGAAACTACTTCCCCAGGCAGTAAAGACCTCAGTTTCTCTGATCTAAATACTAACCAGAGATTTGTTTTATGATCTTTTCCTACATCTCCTTTTGGTGATGGTAGTGTTTCTCCATCCCATACTGGGTTTATTGAATTAGTGTTAATATACTCCTCCAAGTGTGCATGAAGTATTGGAAGAACAAATTTCTACTTTATTGTCCAGATAGCAGTTTACATGTGTTCCAGCTCCCCTTTGGGTAAACTTCATGTATTTACCATGCTTGCTGGGCACCGTTGGCTCATGCTTGTAATTCTAACTACTCAATAGGATCACAATTTGAAGCCAGCCCTAGTAAATGGTTCATGTGACCTTATATCGAAAAAAACCTATCACAAAAAAGAGCTGGTGGAGTGGCTTAAGGTGTAGTCCCAGTGTTCAAAGCCCAGTACTGCCTCAAAAATCCCCCAGGGTCTTGGTCTTTTAGTTTATCCTAATTGTTGATTGGAAGGCATCTTAACCTAATGAATATTCCCTAAAGAGAAGGATTGCTGGGAAGAAATCTAGATTTTCGAGGGCTATCAACCTTCTGCTAAGTTCTAGGTATGAGGTGTTACATTTTTTTTTTAAACTTGGAGCTCCCCCCAATGTGTTCCTTCTGTCCTGAGCACTGAATGTATTTCTGGTTTGATTACCTCCCTTCTATACACACACACACAGTTTGTGTACTGGACAGTTTTTTTTAAGAATTCTGAGAGTTCTGGAAGTTTTTGAGCTTTCTAGATAGAGTGCTGTGATCTTGTATGATTTGCTTTTTCCTTTAGATCATTGATAAAACATGTAGCCAATAGTTCCTTCCTTAAAACTTTGGTTCCCAACTAATTCAAAGCTTTTGTTTGCCTTGCCCTAGATCATCCAGTTTTGAGATTGGCAAGAATCTATATCCTGTTCCTGCCACCATCATTGGCGTTGAGAATTGAATATAGGTCTGTGCTTATGCTAGGCAAGGGCTCTGCTTCTTAGCCCACCCCCACCCCGCTTTTTTTTTTTTGTGTGGTACTGAGGTTTGAACTCATGATTCCTAGGCAGGTGCTTGTAACTTGAGCCACTCCACCAACCCTTTTTTGTGTTGGGTATTCTTGAGATAGGGTCTTCCAAACTATTTGCCTGGGCTGGCTTTGAACCAGATACATGTCTCCTGAGTAGCTAGGATTTAAGCATGAGCTCCCAATGCCCAGCTACTCCATTTGTTAAGAACAATATATTCTCCTTCATGTTGAGGTGAAGTAATTTCTACTCTCCAAATACAAACCAGGCCTAACCCTGCTTAGCTTGCAAGATCATAGGCAACAGGTGTGGTATGTTCATAGGTAGAGGATTCCTTGATTTCCTGACCCTTGGTTTCCCCTCCTTTCTGTCCTTTTTTGGCTTTTTTTTTTTTTTTGGGCTTTTCATTGTTGTGGAAGAGATACAGATGTTACACTTATGCTGTTTATCAAAACACTACAAATAGGTACTATCAGTCAATCTTTATGAAGTAACTTTATGGCCTGGAAAGACACTTAACACATTTAGTTCTATTCAAAATGGAAAACTAGTCCTGTCTGCCTAATCACAGTGAAGTGTACTAAATACCTTTTCCCTCAAAACCTTGATGAGATTCTAGGACTAAAAGTGACCTATTTGAAACAGACTGTTTGGAGGATTTAGCTTCACAAGACTAGATTTAGGCTTTTTAAGAGTGAATTTAGGGAGTTAGAAGTATGGCTCAAGTGGTAAAGAGCTTGCCTAGCAATTGTGAAGGCCTGGGTTCTATTTCCAGTATTGCAAAAAAAAAAAAAAAGTGAGCTAGAAAATTGACATTTTTTTCCTGTTATTAAGTCCTGACATCAAGGCTTAAAAACAGTAGATTAAAGCTGGACCCAGTGGCTCACACCTGTAATCCTAGCTTCTCAGAAGGCAGAGATTAGGAGAATTGTGGTTTGAGGCCATCCTGGGGAAATTGTTCAAGAGACTCTTATCTCAATAAAACCCATCACAACAAAAGTTCTGTCACAGTATGTAGGCACTGAGTTAAAACCCCAGTACAATTAAAAAATTTATTTTTGTTTTGCAGTAGTGGGGTTTGAAGTCAGGGCCTACACCTTGAGCCCTTCACACCCCTTTTTTTTTTCTTGTGAAGGGTTTTTTTTGAGATAGGGTCTTGCAAGCTATATGCTCAAGCTGGCTTCAAACCAGAGATCCTCCTAATCTCTGCTTCTGAGTAGCTAGGATTACAGGTGTGAACCAGGCAGGGTTTTTTTTTTGAGATAGGGTCTTGCAAGCTATATGCCCAGGCTGGCTTTGAACCAGAGATCCTCCTAATCTCTGCTTCTGAGTAGCTAGGATTACAGGTGTGAACCACCGATAGATTTGAGTTTTTGATGCATAGTTACATTACTTGATGTTCCCTCTGACATCCCTTAGCATTTAAAATTGTATAATCTCTTCATAGTAATAATCTTCACACTGAAAGGAACCCAAGGTATTCTAAAGATTTTTGAATTGGATAAACATTTTTATGAGGTTACTTCCAGAAAGGAACACAAGATGTTCCTTTCCCAAACTGCTTTATTAGAAGTTTGGGAGAAGCAACAAATGAAGCAGGATTGGTTTTGTGTATTCATACCCTCTCAGAGGCACTCCAGTCTAGATTGACATTATCTTTACAAAGTCTTTGGTGGGACTGGGTTTTCAGTTAAGGGCTTTGTGCTTCAAAACCTGTGCTCTACTACTTGAGCCACACCTCCAGTCCATTTTGCTCCAGTCTATTTTGGAGATAGTGGTCTGGCAAACTAGTTGCCTGGGCTAGCATTGAACCTTGATTCTCTTGCTCTCAGCCTTCTAAGTAGCTAGGGGATTGATTATAAGTGTGAGCCTGGCTTATTTTAAAAAAGCCTAAAACAAAGGTTTTAGACAATGTCACCAATGTGCTGGGTTTAGTTAATTTGCCTCAAGAAACTTGGACTGCCTTGGAGAAAATATAGATGGTTGTGGTTTTCCAAGAAACCTTGGTGTGTCTTCCTAATAATGAAGTGCCCATTTTACCAACCAGGCTGAAAGTTCTAGAGGTGAGGTGGCACTGGGAAAACTAACTTTGAGTTCTTGTTTGTTTCTGTGTTACAGGCTTTCCTCGGAGACGGGTGGCATGGGGAGCAGCTAGAACAATGCAGATTCATCCATAATCCCTTTCTGCTGTTCACCACCACCACCCATGATCCATCTGTGTAGTTTCTGAACAGTCAGCGATTCCAGGTTTTAAATAGTTTGTAAATTTTCAGTTTCTACACACACTTTATCATCCACTCGTGATTTTTTAATTAAAGCGTTTTAATTCCTTTCTCTGTTCAGCTGTTAATGCTGAGATCCATATTTAGTTTTATAAGCTTCTCCCTCTCCCCCCCTTTTTTTTTTTTTTTTTTTTTTTTTTTTTGGCTCATGAATTTTTCTGTTTGTCATGGAAAATGTAAGAGTGGAATATTAATACATTTCAGTTTAGTTCTGTAATGTCAGGAATTTTTCAAAAAAAATTAAAAGATGGACTGGAGCTTTTTCTTTGTGAATAGAAACTGGATGCCACAGTGATTCATGTGGGTTTTATTCCTGTTGTCTTGCTGTTATTTTTGTACCTTTATCCCACACAGGACCCCGTTGGGTTTTGAACAGAAGACTATTCCAACTAAGATATTTTCTTCTGTTTTACCACTCCATGTTTTTTATTGGCCTTTGGTCCTTTTTTCCCATGACACTGTACCTGGTTGGTCTTTGTAAAGCTTGTGCCCAAAGATTGAGGATATATTTTCTTAGGACTTTAAGTATAGAGTAGACAGGCACTTCTCTGAGGGTAGAGGGAGGATGCACATGTGTACCTACGAAAACAGATGGAACTGAATGTGATTGGGATTCAGCTTCTTGGGAATGTCTGTCCCTTTGTTCACGCTTGCATACTTTGAAAATTTAACTGTCTTGTTTCTAATAACAGTTCATTTGTAGTCTTGCGTACAACAAGTGTTTATAATCATTTAGAAAGTGTACCTGCTACCATATATGCCAAAACCTTTGGAAATCTGGAGTATGACATAGTTAATTTAGTGAGAAGCAGCAGAAAGTAACTTGTAAAAAGTCCTCAGGTAAAATTCTGTTTTAAACATGTTTTCTACCCCATTCATTCATCAAGAAAACCCTCAACAGCTGGGCCTGCATGGAGTGGTTATATTTCAAGGTTGTTCACAGGGGTTTACAATATGACAGTCCCCACCCCAAATCAGGCACCAGGATAAGAGCAGGGATTTAAACAGCACCCCAGTTCTTCAGCCTGAGCCATCACATGCTATCAGTTTCCTAATTCCCCCCTGGGCTCTAAGCTGGGGCTTGGGTAGAGAAATGGAGAGACAGAGATGAGTTAAATTGCCACCTGAGAAACCTCAGAGGGGAGGACCCAGCCTTAGTTCCTTTCCTCCCAAGTGCAAAATATGTAAACAGTAAACGGAAAACAGAAAAAAGTGCAGTTTTAGTGGTTCCTCTCCTGTCCCCAGTGTTTGGGGATAGAGAAGGTAGAGACAAGCCTGGCTTTCCTATTGCCTAGCTGCTTGCTTAACATAGGAATGGGGTGAAGCAACAAGGGGCCAGTTTCCCTTTACAAACAGCTCTAGGGCAGTAGTAGTCATTCATTTCCACAGCTGCCAGTGTCCCTAGAGTAATTAGGTAAATTGGTCCAGGGGGCCAGTCTCCCTCAAGCCTGAATTAAGGCTGGGACAGCCCCATCTTTCTGTGATTATGTGGCGCATATATATTACTTGTATTATAAATATTTATCTATGTACAGGGAATAAAAGTGGCTTTCATGGAGGGAGGGAAGCTGGGGGCGGCAAGGCTTCAACGCTGTTGGAGTTGTCCAATTCATTGCTGTCACAGTCTGAGTCCTCAGAATTGGGAGGGCCCTGTGAGGAAGAGTAGAAATGCAATGAGGTGGAGCTCAGCATCTCTTGACATTACAAATAGATTCCTTTAGGGCCCCTCACTGTGGTCTTTTTAATAGCTGCCTTTATATCTCAGGTTTCAGAGGCTGTTCTCTTAACGTGCCAGATTCCTACTCTTTGAGTATTCTTCCCTGACTGGTTTATAGCTGCCATGCAAGTTATGTGTTAGGCACCAAATTTGGTGCTCTGCATCAGACTTTTCAAATTCTACCACCTTAGTTTCATTCTTTTAGTTAAGTTTAGAAACTGGAACAAAAGGAGGCTAAATACCTATCATTCCAGCCTGTGCATCTCTAAAAAGCTCTCTAATAATTTGGAATCTGTTCTGTTTTTCCTGTTCATTATTATTTGTAATCTTGTTTTACCTGCTCACTTCTAAGTAGGTCCTGGTGTGAGATAGGCGGGGAGCTGGGTTCAGGGACCACCTCTGAAGCAGGTGGGTCCAGTGGGATTTCTGAGCCCTGGGAGCACATGTCATCAGACCGTTCATCTGGCCGTTCATCAGTGTTGGTGCTGCCAACTTCTGGTGTACCACTGGGGGAAGGCTCACTAGCTGTACCTTCTTCCCCATCTGATGGATTCTCTGAGCTGAAGGTAGATAGTGACTGGCGCATGTTCAGGCCCTGGGGCCACCTAAATGTTGGAGTAGGGGTTACAGCTTATTCTGCACCTTAAAACCCAGAGAGTAGAACAGTGTCATTACAGCCTATACATCACTTACCTCTGGCTTGGTGTCAGTTCTACTTCACTGTCTACCTCTCCTTCTTCCTCTTCTGATGAGATGCCACGTTTCTTTAGGAGAAATGAGGGGACTGTGGTCAACATGGGAAGAGGCCATTAATTATCCAGGGGAAGGGAACAAAGTTACTTAGGGAGTAGCATAATATTGAGTGCAATATGTGGCATGACAATTGGACCCCTAAGGAGAACAAAGAAAGGGGAAGGAAGAATCTCCCCCACACTTTACCTGACTTCGAGTGACAGCAGCCCTGTACAGCAGTGCAGCTGGGGTCAAGTGCTGGGACCCAGCCCGGCTTCCTCCCCGGCCCGCTGTCCCTTCCCTTCCAGTTCCCAGCAGCCCCACACTTTCACAGGGCCCTACTGATGGAGGTGGCTCCCCTTTGGCTCCCCCAGGTGAATCTGGGCTAGTGGAGCCAGGAGCTGAGCCCTCGCTTGGGGGAGTGTCACCCCGGGGTGGAGGAGGTGAGCCAGGATCCCCAGCTCCTCCTGTAGCTCCCCGACCCCTTGCTCCCAGTGCTGCTGTCAGCAGGTCTGGGGATGATGATGACATCTTGCGGAGCAGAAGGTCATGGTGGAGCCCACGGAGGGCAGGGGGGCAGGCCTCCCACGCTGGGGGTCCTACTCCTAGGCCCCCTGGTCCTCCAGGTTCGTGGGGTGGCATAGCTGTACGAAGCCCAGGCAGGTCCCCACAGCTTCCCTTCGTGCTGGACTTGCGATGACGGGTCTTGCCACGGCGACTCCGTCCTGGTGAGGGAGGGCCCTTAGGACACCCAGGCAGCCCCACCCCACTTAGGGCTGCATCTAATTTAGGTAGCAAAGACTCTGTCTTGAGGATATCTGGCCTGGTAAAGAGAGGGAAAGTACAAGATTGAGATTAACAAATGCAAGACCCACTCAGCTTGGGATAAGACAATGAAAGTCTGGCTGCCCCCAAGCATCCAGGACCTCTGGAAGCATCCATCCTTACTGCCCTACTCAAACCTCAGTCTTCATGAACCTGAGCCCCACCTTTTGCTATGGGGTGACAGCTTCTGTGGTACATTTCTCTTCTTGATGAGTTTCTCCATTGTATTACCATGGAGGAGGCTCCGTGATGGATGTGACTTCAGCAAGCCTGGGCACCTCCGCTCTAAGGCTTGTTCCCTCCTAAAAATTGATGCACCTTCTCAGTTGTATGACCAGGAAGGGATCAGTGGGGTCTCCCAAGTTATGCAGCTCCATGCAGACCTGGGATTTTGTGTGTAAGGGCTGGCAGGATTACCTAAGCAGTTCCCGTTCCTTGAGTTCCAGCTGCAACATGAGGGCATTCAGTTCCATGTACAGGTTGTTGGCTCTCTCCAGCTTCCGTTCATAGTGTTCCCTGATGTCCAAGGCGTGCCTGTAATAGGCAGGTTTGTTCCCCGTGATGAGTTCATCTGGTGTCATAATGGACCCCATTCTCTGGGAACTAGTGGTCAAGCCCTGCTATTGGTAAAATCACCAAATAGGTACACACCTGAGTTCCTCCCTCCTCCGCATCACCAGTTCCTCTTCTAGGCGGTGCAGACAGGTCCCTTCTGACTTAATCTTTTCAAAGTGCAGCTTTACCTCTTCCCGCCACTCTGCCTGGGGGTGGAGAGACATGAGTGAGGACCGTATCTCTTCACTGGATAGATGTGATCCCTGGAGGGTGTCTCCACCACCACTGCAACTTGAAAGTTGAAGCAAAAGAGAGTAGGCTACAGGACTTTTTTTCTTTTTTCCCCGGGCCTCCCTCTCAAAAGGTGCCATTATCTTGGGGAGTTAAGTATTCATTTTCCTACCACAGCACACCTGGGACTTAAAGTAAGTCTCCTGGGGTGTGGAGAGCACATCAGCTGAGGCGATGTCCAGATGCAGCAGGATCTGTCGGAATGATGGACGATTTCGTGGTTTGCTATTCCTGAGGGAATGGAGTTGGGTGAGAAAGGAATTTCAGGGAGAACCTGATAGAAACTAGAGCATCCTTTCCCCAAGTATATGTCTTGGAGAATCCATCCTAGAGTATATTCTGTGGCAAGAATTCCATGGTCCACTCTAGGAAAAACAACACATTAACTGTTAACATGCTAAAATCCTGCAATAATAAGACCTCTCTAACCCCATATTTTCCAACTTGTTTGTCTAAGTAAAACTGGAAGAAACACACTTGGAGAAATGCTCCATTTAACAATCTTCCAACCTCCTCCCCTCCCAGATTATAAGGTGCTATCCTTTGGAGGTTGAGCCAATTATACTGATGCCTTCTCCTTTTTCTTCCACATACTTGATAAGTAGGTATTGTTAACATCTATTTTACGGATGTTGAAACAGGTTCAGAGGTAATACCACATTCCCAAAAAGGTCACTCAGCTTAAAAGGGTAGCAATGATATGGACCAGTCTCTAAATCTAATGTGCTCTTGTGTAGTGGTTTTTTTTTTTTTGGATGGTACTGGAGTTTGAACTCAGTGCCTTACTGCTTGCAAAGCTGGCACTCTACTGCTTGAGCCACACCTTGGAGATGAGGTCTCAGAAACAATTTGGTTCTGCAACCATGATCCTCCTGATCTTGGCCTCCCAAGAAGCTAGGATTACAGGTGTTTGCCACTAACATCTGGCTCCCCCTGCAGATTCTTGATCAATTCAGCCTGTGTGTTCTAGGTTTTTTTTTTGGTTCACATCCTAGATCCTATGTTCTTGGAAAGATAAATCAAGGTAGAGAACTCTGGGTCTGAGTGCCTGGCTTCTAGGTGCTGGCTATCCATTGATAACACAACGTTGGTTCTCACCTTAGCCCAGTCTCCCAGGCCAGGCCATTCTTACCAGCACTGGCGAAGCAGGATTTTGAACCCATCTGGGCAGCTGGAGGGCACAGGTAGATGAAGACTGTTGCTTCCCACACCCCAGATGATGGCTGAGGAATCTACATCTTTGTATGGAATCTCACCGGTCAGTAGTTCCCATAGCACCACGCCAAAGGACCTGGGGATATGAGGAAACATTACTTGGGAGAAGGTCCCTTCAGAGGCCCTGGTCGCAACAGTCCCATCTTCCTTATGCCCAAGTCCTGGAAGTGCCTTCTCCCCACCCTGTTGGCTGCCCACTCTTCTCAGTCCTCAACCTAGCCCTCACCAGATGTCGACTTTCTCAGAGACAGGCTCATTACGGATCACTTCAGGGGCCATCCATGCTACTGTCCCGGCAAAGGACATCTTGGTGCTCTTGTCACTCAGCTCCTTGGAAGTTCCAAAATCTGAGATCTTCACCACGTCGTCGTATGTGATAAGCATGCTGGTAGAGAGTGTAGTCAGCTAGGGTCCATGCCTCTCCACACACCCCATCTAACTGCTGCAACTCTGCCTTCCTGTTTAACATACTTTGGGAATCCAAAGGTGAAAAATCTCACCACAGCCCTCCCAAGATAGGGCTCTCAGTGAAAAGATGGCCACGTAGACTTAGGCAGCGCCTAAAAGCAGGTAGGTGGCTACACTTCCTTGGGTGGGTCACCTACATGCACATCAGCCTCTCCCTGTTTGCTTACTCACTTGGGGGATTTGAGGTCTCTGTGGATAATCTTGTGCAGGTGAAGGTAGTTCATGCCACCAGCAATGCCCATGGACCAGTCAACCAGCAAGGAGGGGGTGACAGGGCGACCAGCCCGTAGTACTTCATACAGCTGGCCCTGGGCACAGAACTCCATGAGGATGCAGTAGCAGGGAGCCTGGGTACACACACCCCTGGGGGCCAAACAGGATGAAGGTGTCAGTCAGCTCATCGTTAACCTAATGTGTGTCTGGAGCTCTCATTCCCACCCATGTCATTTTTGAGGCCATCTTTGGGGAGGATCGGGTATGTTCCACTGCCCGGGCAGGTCCTAATCCTCAGCAAAGTATCCCCATACCATGCCCAGGACCTCACTTGAAAGTGATGATGTTGGGATGCTTCAGCTTGCGCAGATGCTTAATATCAGTCTCTTTGAGGTCTCGCACCTTCTTCACAGCGACCTCCTCCCCATGGAAGCGCCCCAAGAAGACAGCACCCTGGGCCCCTGAGCCTACCCACTGCAGGTCCAGGATTTCCTCAAAGGGAACTTCCCAAAGGTCTGTGGGCAGAAAGCACAGAAATCTGCAGTCAGGCCTTGTGACACACTCAGGGCCAGGAACAGGACACTATTGGGTTGGACAAAGTGAATCAAGGACAAGACAGAAAAGTAACCACATGAGGCTGAAACGACTTTGGGTCTGGTGGATGGGAAGGGGGCCTTAAGCTGGGGGAAGGGCTAGTGGTGTGGCTAAGCACTTGCCTAGCACGTACAAGACCCAGGATTTAGTTCTCAGCTCCAGGAGGGAAAAATGCAGGAAAGTCAGGAATTAGACTGATGGCTTAGGTAGACTGTCCAGCAGAGCTTGGGCTCAAGAAGACGTAAAGGGAGAAGCATCCCACAGGACTCTGACCTACCTTCCTGCTGCTGCTTGTGCTCTGTGGAGTAGGCTTTGCCAATCATGGTCCACACAGGGCGCAGGCAGCCAAAGAGACCTTCAAGGAAGCCACTACCACTCTGGCACTGCAGCCGCACTTCATCAGCTCGAACTCTAGATGCCCGACTTTCTGGTGACCCAGTAGCTCCCCCTGAGCCACCTGTGTCCTGCTCATGCAGCTGCAGGACACTGTTGGCAAAAGGCTCAGGGGGCGGCTCTCCACCTGGGGAAGGGCTGGGCCCACCCCCACCCTGCCCACCCAGAGGCACTACATCTCGAAGTACACACTGGGTAGGCGTCAGGTCCTTCTCAGGGGTGCAGTCTGAAGTGTCTGGGTCCAGCTTGCGCATGGATGCCTCGCTCAGGGTAGACACGAAGCCCCCAAAGGAAGGGGAGGGCGTGCGTGTCTCATGGAGGCAGGCCATGACCCCTGTGCCCCACTATGGTGCTGAGCTGCAGGCCCTGTGGGAGGAAGGGAAGAGGAGCTATCAAAACACAGGCATGCTAGCTCCTGCCCAAGATTCAGGTTGGAGAGCTGGGCTCACAGTATCTCCACTGGAGGCAGCACTTGAGCTCTGTTCTCAGATACCCTTTACAGGACACCTGATAATACTTGGCCTTTCTGTCAGTCATCTATTAGTAATGTCAGTAGTACTCTGGCTTATAGGGAACAAACTTAGTATCAGTACTAGGTAGACCCAAGCAATAGTTCTACTCAGGTGCTGATAAAACATGTCTCAAACCGAAGTAGAGGGGCTAAGGTGTAGCTCAGTGGTAGTGCAGAATGCAAGGTTTTTGGGTTAACTCCCACGCACCACAAAAGAAAGGGGGATGGCCTAGGGATGTTGTTCATAGAGCCCTTGCTTAGCAACCTGGAGGCACTGAGTTCCACACTAAACATTGCAAAAATCACAAAACCGAAAGTACCTAGTGATACCAACCTACTTCCCGCCTCCCTGTATGATTACTGTAATTCAGTACTTCATTTTTTCAAATGAGACTCACAGGTGCACACAGGTGTAATGAGTCAGGCACCTTTTACCTTGGATCTCAAACTCAAGCACACAGTGGTAACCCACCCCTCATGTTAAGGCACATATGATACTGGTATGCCTTTCACTGAAGCACCCTCAGATATCCATAGGCCTCACAGTTCAGGTTCTTCCACCAGGGTATCATTGAGGCTCTCAGAAACACTCAATTCAGGTGCGAGCCTTATCCTGACACACTCAGGGCTCACATCTGGGGCCTTCTCTCAGGTATGCTCATAAAACACACCTGGGGAAGGCAGTAACCACATAGCTGCACTATCCTCCAGCACAGTTGGCCAAAAAGGCAGAACTATCCAATGGGGACTCAAAGATGTATGAGAACAAGCTGTGGCCTTACTGCTTCATCCTTCATGCCTTTCCTCTTCTCCATTGCTCCACCCCCAGCTCCCCAGACCAAGATTCCACTTTGTAGGCAGTGGAAATTTCTCAATTTATAGTTGGGTGTTATTTTAAAAAATAACCATTAGAGCTAGGCGCTGGTGACTCAAGGTATGAAGCCAGTCCGGGCAAATAGTTGGTGAGACCCTATCTTGGAAATACCCAACACAAAAAAGGGCTGGCAGAGTGACTTAAGTGGTAGAGTGCCTGCCTAGCAAGTGTGAGGCCCTGAGTTCAACCCCCAATACTGCCAAAACCAAAAAATATTAGAAACCACAAGTCCAAAGGGTTCAATCCCCATTACCACAAACAGAGAACAAAGAAAAACCCTTCAAATCCTAGGCTTGCTTCTGGCACTTAATGACTCTGTGACCTCAGGTGAAATACAATTTGAGCCTTAATTCTCCAGCTATCCAAAGGGCAGAAATATCATTCAGGTACAGCAACCTCTCCAACCTATACCTGGGAGAATTTGCCACCAGGAGTCATCCTAGTCTCCTATCCATATCTAGTTGGTTACTAAATCAAGATTCCTGAGAACAAGGAATCACTCTTATTATTACTTAGGCAGGTCCTTCCAGACTGCTTGTAGTCTGCAGTTCCCTGGGAATGAGTGCCACACATTCTGAATCACAGTGGAAGGGGAGTGGCAGGAAAATACACAAGGCTCAGGGGATGATGATGTAGGTACACAAGGAGGTTTGAGAAACTGATAGCTTCAGCTCTCCTAACAGTTTTCAGGCCTTTCTCTTGAAGACTTTTTCACTGAATGTGGTAGGACGAGGATCTGCATATGACTAGCACACAAGAAAACCGACCCAGTGCCATTCTATTGTATTCTCGATTAGTCAGTCCCACTGTTACCACCTTAGTTCTAGCTTCATTAGTTGTCATCACCTGACCCAGACAAAAGCCTCTTAAATGATGCCAAGTTCTCCCCCAATTCTCTGCCCAGCCTTCAGAGGGATTTTTTTTTTTATCTTTTGCAGTACTGGGGCTTGAACTCAGGGCCTTCACCTTGAGCCACTCCACAAGCCCTATTTTTGTGAAGGGTTTTTTGGGATAGGATCTTGCGGCAGTTTGCCTGTGTTGGCTTTGAACCGCGATCCTACTGATCTGTGCCTCCTGAGTAGCTAGGATTACAGGCGTGAGCCACCCATGCCTGGTTAAGAAGGATCTTTCTAAGACAAGTTCGCTAGCCCCCTTCTGGCTTTGTTACCCTTCAGTGGCCCAGGACCGTTGATCCAGCTTGCAGCCTCAGCTCTGGCCACCCCAGCCTTATTCTCCACTGCTGTTGTTACCCAGGCCACACAGAACTTAGAAGGAGAGACCCGAGGCTTTTGAACCAGGACACCTAATGACAATGGCTAATTTTTATGAAAGCTTTACTATGTATCTTAGCCTGGGTGTTTAATTCTCAAAACTGTAAGGAGGACATTATTAGCTCCATTTTATAGACTAAGGCATAGAAGTATTGAATAAACTGTTAAGTCATCATAGCTAGTAAGCTGAATCTTTACCCTCAGGCTTGCTGTGTCTAGAAGGTTCTTCTCGTTCTTTGTCTTTCAAGCCTCATTTTATCTTGGAAGTCTTCCCTCTTATCCTAAACTCTACGAAAATGCCTCTTTTGATCTGACCACAGGCCCCATGGGGCTTCCAACACCTGGAGCCCAGGGAGGCGCTGGCTAAGGTAGAAACACTGGTTTACCCAGCCCAGGCCAGCGCACACATTGCAAGTGTTAGCTCCCTCCGACCACAGAACAGCCCAGAAAAGGGGATTACTGGTTGCCTTATGTTCTTGAGAAAACCGACATCCAGAAATAAGTCACAGTTGAGCCCAGCGTTGGAGTCGCCAACACATGCCACTGTACGGCTTCGATAGAAGGTGGTGATTGTAATGCAAGTTACAGCCAAACACAGGCCAAACGACATGCCAGTACATCAGAGAGTTGTCTCTGGAGGACCCGAAAGCTTCCGCCTTCCCACTGCAGCCCCAAGCCTGGGCTTTCCTTCTGGTTCACCCAGAACCAGGGCCGTGTCTCTCGAATGCTCTCGACTGCACCAGGCCAGGGGAGGAGAAGCGAGCCGGGACCAGAGTGCTCCGAAAGGAGCAGCAAGCAGGCAGGGTCCACCCGCTGGACCGCTAGGCAACCAGTTCCTTGTCCCCCAAGCCCATGTCAGGATAGTCCAAGGCGGAGAGAAAGGGTTACGGCCGCAGCGCCCCCTCCCCCTCTCGACCTCCTTCCCGGCCGTCACGTGGAGGGTGGCTGGGGGCGGGGGCCCGGCCGCGGGAGGAGGGGGTCCGGGTGGGGAGGGAAAGGGAGGACACTGAGGGCTGAGGGTAAGCGCTGGGCGATGCGGCGTAACCATGACGACTGGGCCCGTGGCGGCGCGTGAAGTCACCAGGACAAGATTAGCCTGGAGTCACGTGAACGCGACGTGGGGGCGGGGCCGCGCCTGAGCCCTGCCCCTGACCTGGCGAAGGAGCATGTGGCTGGTGGCCGCGATGGTTGCGGGCACCGCAGGTGCGGACCCGGGCCTGGTGGTCTGCCCCATGTGTCGCCTCTCCCCCGCACTTTCCCCCGGCCCCGCACACAGACGTAGGTTCGGCTGGGTCCTCAGGTGGAGGAAAATCGACCGATGCTAGAGGGAGGGGACGAAGGGGGTTGACATTAGGGGTGCAATGCCACAGAGCAGAAAAGCAGGAAATGGACATATGGGGGACGGACATGGAAAGGGCGAAAGGCACAGGCAGAGAAAGACCAATAGCATGAAGCGCAGGAGCGTCAAATCTGGAGAAGTACGGGCTGAAAAACAGCCCCTGAGAAAATGGAGATGAAAGGGGACAGAAAAACACTGAGTTCACTGCCCCCTCCCCAATTCGTTTTCTATCTAGAAGCTGAGCTTTGAGTAGCACAACACCTGGATTTCTAAAGGAATTTTTCAGCCCTCACTGAGATGTTTGGCCAGTAGGCTTAGGCAGAAAGAGGGTGACCTGCTCAGGAACACTTGCAGCCAGGCCTCCCTCCGGTTCACACAGGCTTCCCTGGAGGCCCCTTTGGTATCCAGGGCCAGAGCTGCCTGGAGGAGCAGAGAAGCCATTCCACCTGTTTGCCTTATAGGGCAGTAGGAGTAGCTGAAGAAGCAGGAGAAGGGACCAAGGGGAAGGTAGGAAATCTGCCAGGCTCAGTCTACCCCGCCCCACCTCAGACTAATGACAGCTCTTCCACGTTGACCTGAAGAAATAGAGGGGAAGCTGAGGCCCCAGGGAGCCTAGTAAAATGGAGATTCCTGTCTTCTAATAAACACCCCCCCTTTCTGTTTCCTTTATTCCTGACCTGCCAGCTGTGTCCCACTGCCCCCCAGCTGGGCCTTGGCGCCAGGGATTTGGGGGAATATCATGGCTAGGAGCCCCTGGCCCAGACATTCAGTCACCCTGGGGGAGGGGAGCTGTCTGCTGGTCCATCAATTATGCAAAGCATGGGGGAGGGCAGGGGACACGATACAAGGGGTGGTGGCTCAGTCATTCTGTCAACCCCATTACCAAATGTTGACTGGGCGTGTTTCAGACTGGGTGGAGTCTCTGTGGACACCCAGAAAGCTTTATTTCAATTTCAGCTGGGCGCTCCTTTGCTTTGCAAGTGGTTTCCAGACCTACCCCTTGAGTCTATGGAGTACAGTGGAGCCCGGAAGCCACCTCCACCTGGCCCTCCTAGGTTTCCTGCCTCACATGTTGAAAGGATGTGGCAGGTGAACCCTTGAATTCTCTCTAGTTCCCAACTATCCTAACAGCAGAATCTCAACACTAAGCTGCTTGGCAGTCTTGGGGGCTGGGCTCACAGTCCTGGCTATCTGTCTAAACTTGGGCTCTGGAGGTTTAAAGCGCTCTGTCCCAGACCTCATTTTCCACCCAGGAGGAGGATTCCCCTTCTCGAAGAGTCGGCGTGAGGAGGGGCCTCTGTGACTTTGGAATCCTGGTTCTACCTCGCAGGCTCAGCTCCTGAGAGGATGAAAGACTCTGACAAGCCTGGGTCAGGACTCTTGTCCACTTGGCTGCAGATTGTTTTCCTTTTGACAGAATCCTGGCCCTAGAGTTCTCCTAGGACGGAAAGAACACTGGCTTTTCTTAGGGCCCCCTTATGAGGGGAAATGCTTTCCCGAGACCTAGCAAAGCTGAGCTTGCCCCTAAATCAGGTCCTCAGCCTCTTACAGGTCAAGCCTTGACACCCCGAGCGCCACACTTAAGTTGGGGTGGTAAAGGCGAGGGCAGCGCTGTTCAGGAAGAAAGAACCGACTTTGAATTTGGAGAAAGCAGAGCTACAACTCCAGCTGTGGGCCCCATCAGTGATCTCAGACTCCTAGCCCCATCTTATGGCGAGGGTTAAGTAAGAAGATGGGGTCATGCCTGCCTCCTAGCACTGTCTTCCAGGCTAGTGAGACAACAGGCCTTTCTTGGTGGATTCTGGAGAGGCCATTTTTTCTATCTGACCAGAAAAAGACTTGGTCTCTGAACTTCTGCTCACCCCAGGACCAGCTGTGACTTTAGGTTCCACAGGTCAAATGGCAGTGGCTCTGCCTCCTTCCCCGCCCCGCCCCCCCAGACAACCCTGTACAGGATCAGGTGTCCTCCCTCTGCAAACCCTGCTGCTCCACCTCCTGTGGATGGTGGGAAGGCCTGGTCCCACCCTTAGCCCTGCCCAGTTCCTTTTAGGACCTGCTCTCCACTAAGATCTGTCCTGATGATGTGGCTGGATCACCCCTCAGCCTTACCCACCAAAGTCTGAAGGGAAGGGGAAGGCAGGAGCAGTGTGGGATTGGCACAGGGTCCCTCCCACAGGACCTCAGGTAGATGTAGAAGAAGCAGAGTATATTTTAGCTAATAGTTCTGGAGCCGAATGAGCATTTGAAAAATCTGAAAGGAGCCAGATGTGGTGGCTCATGCCTAAAATCCCAGCTACTCCGGAGGGGTAGACTGGGAGGATTGGGTTAGGCAAAAAGTTATGGAAAGACCCCATTTCAACAAACAAGCTGGGTGGTACACATCTGTAATCCCAGCAGTTAGGAGGCTGAGGTGCAGGAGGATGTCAAATTTAAGGGCAATCTGGGCTATGTAGTGAGACCTTGTCTCAAGAAAAGAAAAAAGTACACTAAAAACTCTGAAAGGATAGATACCAAAAATGTAACCATTTGTAGGTAGAATTATGTGTGTTTTAATTTTCTTCTGTTTGCTTACTTATATTTTCTAGTATTTCAGTAATCATTCCTAACTGGTTTTAAAATAAGAAAATTTATTTTAAATTGCAAAAGAAAAAAGATTTATGGAGTGCCCAGCTATTCCTTTCCCCTGGTTTACGGCAGGCAGCTGGGCAGTGGAGGGGGGGTGGACAGTGTCAAGTAGACAGGCTTCTGGGTCAAAGAGGCCTGTTGAGGCCAGTCTCGTATCTTACCTGACCATACCCTGTAGCAGCATACGACACTTAAAAACTCTTTCTTCTCTCTACATGAGGACGTGAGTAAGAACACAGGCTCTGGTTGAGAAAGGTTCAAATCCTAGGTCTTGCCACATACTAACTTGTGCTTGTTTTTAGTAGCACTAGGGTTGAACTCAGAGCCTGCTTGTGAGGCAGGCACTGTGCCACTTGAGCCATGCCCCCAGCCCTAGTTTTGGTTTTTGAGAGAGGATCTTGCTGTGTATCCTAGGCTGTCCTCATCCTTGAGATCCTCCTGCCTCATTTTTTGTTTTATAGGGCCTCATGCTTGCTAGGCAGGTGCTCTCCACTTGAACCACTCCACCAGCCCTTTTCTGTGATGGGAGTTTTTGAGATAGGGTCTCCTGAACTATTTGCCTGTGGCTGACTTTGAATTGTGATCCTCCTTATCTCTGCCTCCTGAGTAGCTAGGATTACAGATGTAACCCATAGGTGCCTGGCCTGCCTGATCTTCTTGAGCTCCTGGATTACTAGAGTGTACCACCATAGCAGGCTAACTTTTTGCATTTGAATAAATAACTTAAGTTTCAGTTTCCTCATTCTTATAATAGAGATGATGATAACACTGTCTAACTTAGTCTTGTTATGAGCAGTACTGAGTTCTGGGCCCAGTACCTGGCACACAGGAAGCACTGTACAAGCAGCAGCCATGTGAACAGTGTTTAACACGAAGTAGTAATTTTTTTTTTGCTGGGGGGCTTACTGGAGTTTAAACTTAAGGCCACACTTGCTAGGCAAGAGCTCTACCACTTGAGCCAATCTGCCAGCCCTTTTTTGTGTTAGATATTTTTGAGATAGGTTCTCAGGAACTATTTGTGTGAGCTGGTTTCAAACCTTGATCCTCCTGATCTCTGCCTCCTGGGTAGCTAGGAGCCAGAAGGTGTGGCCCAAAGTAGTAAGTTTTTGGCTTCGCTGAAGTTTGAACTCAGGGCCTTGCACTTGTTGGTAGTAACTCAACCTCTTGAACCATGCCCCCAGCCAGTAGGCTTTGTATCAATGTGATTTCTTTCTCTTCTTTCACTTTTTCTCCTCCAAACAAGAGGCAACAGAAAGGGTGCAGGTAAAAAGAGAAAAAAAAAAAAAGAGCAAAGAAAGAAGAAAGCTAAGGGCACGAGCTTTCTTTCCTGGAAGATCCTATTCTCTTCTGGAGCAGTGTCACTGCTTTCCCAGAGCACACTTGACCCAAGGCCTGGGAGCAAATGAATGGGACAGACCAGTCTCTTTGGCCAACCCTCCTGAAACTCCATGTCCTCTGATGGCATCCTTTCAACACTGGTGACCCAGCAGGTACTCCGGAAGGGCTTGATTTCCCGATCCCTTCTGTCTCCCCAGGCACAGGTAGGGGAGAGGTGGGTTGGGTGCTACAAGTTTGGGTCCTCTTCCTACCATCTCCAGACTCTACCACCTCATCAGCACCAGGAAAGAACTGGGAAGAGTAATTAATTGCTTTTTAGAGGGTCCTGCTATCCTCAGATGTAAGGAAGCCCAGGAAATCCTCAGCTACTTCCTCACATCAAGTCAGGCAGCTGTGGGAGTGAGTGGATTAATGGTGGCTTGGACAGGACACCTTTTCACCCTTAAGTGTGAGATAGGAGGGAGCAGGGCCCTAGAGCTCAGAGAAACTTCAGTGTCTCCACAGAAAGGCTCAGGGGCACTTGGCCCTTTCCTTCCCGAGTACCTTGTGCTGGCCTTAGTGTGGCTTGATTCTCTGGTTGAAAACTAGAGCTCTCAGAGTGAGGAAGGCACCCTGAGAGTTGGAAGGAAAATGGTGTTTAGAAGGAGGCACTGACTGTGGCTCAAGGGGACTCTAGGTGGGGTAAAGAGACCTAGTGTGTACTCTCTCCTGGTTTAAGGCCAAAGAGGTAGCAGATAAGAGCTAAAACATGCGTCCCCTCCATTTTTTATTCTTCCTCTGTTGGGAAGACACCTAGCTTCTCCCACAGTCTATGGGGTCTTTTTTGTTGTTGTTGTTTTTGAGACAGGGTCTCACTATGGAGCCCAAACTGGCCTCTAACAGTCCTCCTGCCTCCACCTCCAGAGTACTGTCTATGGAGCCTTGACCCCTTCTTTTCCCTCCCCTTAGTCAAAACCATGGTTATCAGAAAGTCTCAACTCTATAGAAAGGATTCTTGCTGGATTTTGGCGGTACTGGGGTTTGGACTCAGGCCTCACCATTGCTAGGCAGGTGCTCTACCCCTTGAGCCACTTTGCCAGCCCTTCTTGCTTGATTTTAAGCCAAGGAGTTTGAGGAGTATGTGAGGGAAGGGAGGTTCTTGAAGGGCCTCATCTGGGAAATGGGTTAGAGGAGCCAGAGGAGAGAGGGAAAGAGGAAGGAGAAAGCCACATGAAAATCATGGAAGGGGGTGGTGCTGCAACAGCTGGATGGAGGGGAAATGCCACAGCTGGAGGGGATTAGGGGCATCACTGATGGAAGGGGAGGGAGACCCTGGCAGGGCATCCAGGAACAGGTGCTGCCCATGTGATCTTCAGGTAGAGCCTGCTAGGTGTGTGGGGAGAGAGGGAGACTGGGAGAGGCAGCGGGTACATCAGGCCTTGCCCTTCCTCCCCTTCCCTGGAGGGGGCCACAACTCTCCCTCCACTGTCCCTCTCTTGGTCCTGAGGGTAAGTGAGAAAAGAGGATGCTCTCTTGCCCGCTGCCCTTTAAGCTTGTCCCCCAATTACCCCACCCCCACACATCCATCACATCTCTGGAGGCTCTCGGTCCCCAACCTGGGCCGTGGCATCCCTCAGCTCCGTTTTCCACCTTCCTATCTCCAGGCATCGGGTCCAGGTCCCCAGTTCCTCCATCCCCACAGACTCAGCATCCCCGCGTCACCTCCTCCCCCACCACGCTACATCTGCATCCTGACCCTCCCAGGATCCGGAGGGCCCGGATCCCAGGACCCGGACCCATCCCTGGCCACCACCCCCCAACAACTCGGCCAGGCTCTCACCTCGGGGGCTCCGCGGCCGCAGCACAAAAGGCGGCGCTGCTGCAGCTCCGCTCCGGATACTGCTCCCGCCTCCTCCTCCTTCTCCTCCTCCTTCCCTCCTCCCCGCGCTGCCCTCGACCGGACCCGGGGCGCTGTCACAGGCGATGCTTGCGCGGTGTCCAGGTGCACGGGTGTCAGCCCCAGCTTTCTGCCCCGACCCCCGACTCCTAGCCCCGTCCCCACTCGGCTTGAACTCCCGCTCCTTCCGAGGCCCCCGCCCCTGGCCTCCCGGGACGGACACGCCCTGAGCGGGGGATGCTGCGCTGGAGCCGCCGGCCTCTTAAAGGAGCCCACTGCTGCCATCCGGCGCGCTCCAGGCTTGTCCCTGGCCCGCTAGGGCCCCGCGCCTCCTCGCTGACCTAGGGTGGCCCTACCTTGGACCTTATGCGGATTCTGGAGGAAGCCTCTATAACACGTCTAATAGACTCCTTCCTATATATACCAAGAAGAGAGCAGCCCCTCGTGATCCCTAGCGCTCTGGCGTCTCCCTCTGTCATACCGATCTTGCCAGCTCTGCTTCCTATGATTGTCACCGCTCCAATTTCACCCAATTGGAATCCACTCAGCTGTAGGCCCCATCCCCCTCCAGTGTTCCTGGATGACCCCTCATTATCATTCCAAGATTCCTCTGGCCTCCATTCCCCGCCTCTTCAGAGTAAGACATCTCTTCCAGGCTCATTCTCAAAACACCCATTGGAATCAGACATTTTTCGTGATTTCTCTCCAAGGTCACACGTTCTTTCCCCCGACATCTTTCAGCACCGTGGTTGTGATGGGGGTAGGGAATGGGGCTCCGGGATCCAAAAGCACACGTTCTGCTCTGCACCTAGATTTAATCTCTTGCTCTCTTCGACTGAGCCTCACAGCAGAAAAAACGATGCCTTAGTCCTAATTTTGTCCCACTCCAGCCCGATTCGCGGGCCCCAGATTGCTGGTCAGTTAAAGAGAAGTTCACTAGGGCCGAGGTAAAAAGGCGTTAGAGGGGAAACAAAATGGCATGGGCTATGCTGAGGGCTGACAGAACTGCTTGAGCTGAACTTGGACCTACAACAGCCTCAGTGCCTTGAAGCTGAGAGCACAGAACAGCCCCCTCTCGTGTCCTGGTAAGGCCCACCCTCCCACAGGGCAAAAGCCTGGATCCGCCGGCAACCTGCCGGACCAATCACAATCTTTTCTCGAGAAGGAGGCGGGGCAAGGGGGGAACGCTACCTCTTTCCCTTGTCCCCGCCCCCCTGGGCCAACTAACCAATCTCAAAGCATCTTGGGGAAGTAAATGCAATCAGACTATCCAATGACGCCGCGAAATATCCTGCGTGCTTGACCCTGCCCCTTCAGCTGTGACCAAGATGGCACGCGAGCTTCTGGGTTCTGTAGTTTTCTCAGGATTCAGACGGCGTCTCCCCAACCCTAAACTGGAGTTAGCCCTTACCGCCCCGCCCCCCCAGTGGCTAGTACGCATGCTCATAGTGTCGGCTTCGGTGAGAGGCGGTGCGGAAAAAAGAAGGCGGGATAAACATTAAAAAACAAAAAACATTTGTAGCTCGGGAGGCGTCTGCAAGGGGTCCGCTCCTCCCAGAAGGCGGTGCAGCAGCCTGGACGAGCGACGCGGAGGGTTGTGGGGCGGGTAGCTCCCCTCCTGATGGAGTCTCATGAAGCAGGGTGGGCGGGGAACTCCATATCCCAGTATGCCCCGCGGCAGGCCCTACCGGCCGCGACTTGGGGCTTGGCCCCGGCCCTAACTCGTCGGCGTTGTACTGGGGCGCGTGGAGGCTGTAGTCACGGTGGCGCCCGCGGGGACGGAGGAGGGAATGAGTGAAGAGGAGCAGGGCTCCGGCACTACCACGGGCTGCGGGCTACCCAGGTGAGCCGCCTCGTCCCGATCTCTGCAGGGCGAAAAGTGTGGGGCGGTACGGAGGGGTAGCGGCGCGGCCCCAGCATGCACCTGGCCTGAGGGTTGTTCCCGGCAAGCATTGGGGTAGCGGGCAGTGGTTCCCGGCATTCACCGGGGTTAGTGGCCATCGCCTCCAGCTCTAAATAGTTTGGGGTTGGTTCGGTTCCCAGATTGCACTGGAGCACTGGGCTTTATGCCCCCACATTTAGTGCATTTGGTGGGTACTGGGTTCCTGGTCTGCACTGTGTCAGGGGGCATGCACTTCCAAACAGCAGTGGGGCACAGGATCCCTCACCTTAATTGAGACAGGAACAGTACATTCCCTATTTGTATTGGGGTAGTGGACCCTGCTTTCCCAGCTGCACCCCACTTTGAACCCAGCCAAGGGATGCTGTACTGCTTGGGATCCCCTGGACCCTATGTTCCCCATAATGTGCCTAGGTCTGGTGTGTCACTGTTTGGCCAGGTGGGTGCAGAGGGGAGGTGTGATGTGGGTCTGTGCCCCTCTCCTAGTATAGAGCAAATGCTGGCCGCCAACCCGGGCAAGACCCCGATCAGCCTTCTGCAGGAGTATGGGACCAGAATAGGGAAGACGCCCGTGTACGACCTTCTCAAAGCCGAGGGCCAAGCCCATCAGCCTAATTTCACCTTCCGGGTCACCGTTGGGGACACCAGCTGCACTGGTGAGGAAGGCTTGGGCAGCCTGGCTGGGGTGTGCCTTCACAGGGCCCATGGCTTTGTATCCTGGAGTCTCTCTCTCTCTCTCTCTCTCTTTTTTTTTTTGGTGTTACTGGGGATTGAACTCAGGTTCTTGTGCTTGCTGGGCAGCCGCTCTACCACTTGAGCCACTGGTCTTTTTTCCCAGTCCTCTTCTCCAAGGCTAGGTTGGGAGGGAGGGATTTTAGGGGAAAAACCACTGACTGGATTGGGAGAACAGGGTTGTGCGAAGGTGGATAGAGTTAGTAGAGTGAGCAGGACTGACAGGGATCTGGCAGGTTCACATCACCCCAGAGGAAAAGTAGAGGAGATGCTGAATATTCAGTGGCTATTTGGGGTAGTGAGCACCTACTATGCTGAGCTGTGTTCCAGGCTGAACATGAGGAAACTGAGTATCAGATTAAATGGCTCCACCTTGGTCACATACCTAGTAAAGGGCAGAGTAGGGCTTTGACTGTAGAGCCTGTCCTTTATTGTCCCAACTGTCTATTAAGGGAAAAGAAAGTGCTTTGCAGAGGAAAGTAAGGCAGAGAGAATCTCGCCCTAAAGTGTGTGAGCTCAGAAGTCCTGTCTGGCCTGGATTAATTCTGGGAGTTAATGGAAAGATTAGGGCCCTTCCTTCCAGCAGTTAGTGGTACCCTTCCATGCTTGGGCAGGGGGAGGTTGGTCAGAGGGTTGGTTGACTCCCTCTGGCTGTGAAGAGAGAGGCCTGGGGATGCTGGTTTCTCTTTTGTCTGGCCAGTGACCTCCAGTATTGCCCACATCCCCTCTCTCAGGTCAGGGCCCCAGCAAGAAGGCAGCCAAGCACAAGGCAGCTGAGGTGGCCCTCAAACACCTCAAAGGGGGGAGCATGCTGGAGCCGGCCCTGGAGGACAGCAGGTGAGGGAGGAACAGCCAAGGCACAGTAGATACCCTGCCAGGAGCCCAGGCCCCTACACCACCCCTTTGACCCCCCTAGGCCTGACCTGGTGACACATGGCCACCCTGATCTGCCCCATCCTGAGAATTTCCTGTGGAGCTGAACAGGGTGTTTCCAGGGCTTCTGCAGCTGTGAAGAATTCTTGGAGGAAGCTAGTTAGTCCCTTTGAAGGGTTGTGTTGTTACGGGGCTGGGTTAGGGAGGAAGGGGGTGGAGGTTGAGACTGACAGTTGTTCCCTGACATGCCCCCTCTTTCTAGCAAGATGTCCTTCCCTCTTTCACACTCAGTTTGGGGTTTGTTGTTCCCATGGTTCTTAAGAAGAGGCCCTTTTTTTCTGAGACCCTCTTTTCTCAGTCCTTTTGAGCCAGTGTCAGGCAGCAAAGGATCCCAGGAGGAGAGTTGTTGTTGAGCCTCTCTGAGTCTGGCCCAGTTGGGAAGGAGTTCTCTAGGGATGGCAGGTCAGGAGGACCTCAGTCCCCATCCCTCTTCTCCCCGACATGGGTGTGAATCCAAGGCCCCCTTCCCCTCGGGAAGTTCTTTTTTTCCCTTAGATTCTTCACTGCCTGAGGACATTCCTGATTTTATCACTGTGGCAGTTGCTGCTCCTGTTCCATCTGCTGTCCTAACCAGGTATCTTGTGTTCCCTGACTTCTCTGAGGGTGGGAGAAAAGGGTTCTGGCTCCTGCCCCCACAGTCCTTGGACCCAGACTGGTCAGGATGATGAAACCTGAGAATAAACAGAGAATGCAATAGTTGGGGACCAGAGCTTGGAGAATTTGCACCAGTTGGTAAGCTTTTGAGACAGGAGGTAATTTATGAATCTTAAATAGCCATGTGGATGTTGTTTGATCATGTTGAAGGGTCTTACAGGTCCCATTTTCTTCTGGATTGGCTACCTGATGGTCCTGTGTTTGAGATCCATGAGGTGCTTCCAGGAACCAGCTATTATCCCTCTCCCACTGTCCTTGGGAGATGATACTCAGATGTTCCAGACTCGAAATGCTTCTAGACCATGAGACTGCCTCACTTGACTGAGAGGGAGGAAGCAGGTAGAGCAGGAGAAGCCAGGCTAGATGTTCAGACAGCTGCCTGCCTGGTGGGAAATAGGGAGATGGCAGTGGGGAGCCAAGCAGCAGTTGGCACTTGTGCTCATGGCAGCTCCAGAAGGAACCATTTTCCTCAGCTTTGGCCTGCGCTCTTTTTCCTTCAGGAACCCTCCCATGGAGATGCAGCCCCCTGTCTCCCCTCAGCAGTCTGAGTGCAACCCTGTTGGTGCTCTGCAGGTGTGGCTCCCATCCTAATTTCCTGTGCATGCCTGTCTTCCCTGAACCAGGGCTATGAGGGAAGAATGTGTGCTTATGGGCGGTGCAGTTACCCATGTCCTTTTTGCACTCCTCCATCTTTCCCCTGACCTGGAATTGTAGGCTCCTGAGTGGATGCCAGAATGGATATGAACCTTGTCTCACTCAGCCTTCTGCTCCCTGTGTCTCCCTTCCAAGGAACTGGTGGTGCAGAAAGGCTGGCGATTGCCAGAATACACAGTGACCCAGGAATCCGGGCCAGCCCACCGCAAAGAGTTCACCATGACCTGTCGAGTGGAGCGTTTCATTGAGATTGGTAACTGGGCAGAAGGGGTTTCTTGCAGCTCCTGTCCCCACAGCACAGCCCTCCAGTTCTCGACACAAGGCAGTTCTCAGCCTGGCTTTGCTCCATCCTGGCTCTCCTTGCTTCATAGCCCCATGCTCGCTCCTGTCTCCTAGCTTCTTCTGAGCACCCCATCTCCCCTCCTCTCTCCTGCCAGGTTCTCGGGCAGGTTCTGAGCTCCCCTTTCTAGTTGACATCCCACAGGGGGACTCTCAATCCAAGTATGACCTGGGAGGAAAGCATTGGTCTGTTGGGATTAGAATCCAGTACTCCTGTCCCCACATGCAGGCAGTGGCACTTCCAAAAAGCTGGCAAAGCGGAATGCAGCAGCTAAAATGCTGCTTCGAGTGCACACAGTGCCTCTGGATGCCCGGGATGGCAATGAGGTGGAGCCTGATGATGATCACTTCTCTATTGTGAGTGGCTTGTGGCTGGGCATGTGGTTCACCCTCTTAAGACACAGCACCAGGGATTGGGTCTGTGACTTAGGAGTGAGCCTCTCTGGGTCCTGGGCCTGCTTCCACTTCAGTTTTCCTACCAGACCTAGGTCTTCTTGGGTCCTTCAGATCCCACTCAGCCTTGACTGTAGGCCCATTGGTGAGTGCTGAGGGGGAGTTGGCCTAGGGTAGGGGCCCTGCAGGCTTCTGTTCCTGGGGTCAGGAAGGTTGCCTGGTCATCAGGTCCAGGGTCTAGAAGTTAAAGGGTATATGTAGGGATTGATAGGATAAAGGCCAGCTGGAGGCAGGTTCTTTGGGCTTTTCTCTCCTTGGATGTTGACTGTCTAAATGCCTAGGTCCTATAATGCCTGGCTGCATCTTTCTCACTCTACCCCCATCTTGTCAGGGTATGGGCTCTCGCCTGGATGGACTTCGGAACCGAGGCCCAGGCTGTACCTGGGATTCTCTGCGAAATTCAGTGGGAGAGAAGATCCTGTCTCTTCGTAGTTGCTCCCTGGGCTCCCTAGATGCTCTGGGCTCTGCTTGCTGCGGCGTCCTTAGTGAACTCTCTGAGGAGCAGGCCTTCCATGTCAGCTACCTGGATATTGGTATGGCCAGTCAGGGAGCCAGGGGATGGTGGGGACTGGACCAGAGCAAGTGTAAAGTGTTGGGAGGGGGTGACAATGACGTGCACCCTCCCTGGGGCTACCTCTCTTCAACAGTGCCTCTCCTCCACTTTTGTCTCCAGAGGAACTGAGCCTGAGTGGGCTCTGCCAATGCCTAGTGGAACTGTCCACCCAGCCAGCTACTGTGTGTCATGGCTCTGCAACCACCAGGGAGGCAGCCCGAGGTGAGGCAGCTTGCCGTGCCCTGCAGTACCTCAGGATCATGGTGGGCAGCAAGTAGGGCCCCTGCTGGACTCATGGATGTGCATCCCTTTGCTCTCTGCTCTTCCTGCCTCTGGGCACATGCATCTATCCAGCTCTGGAACCCTCTGGTGGATGCCATCTCTACCTCTGATACAGACTGCCTGCCTTGAGGGTGAGGAAGGCACAGGGCGAGGAGCCAGGGACCATATGGCCTTAGCTGGCCCAGGACCTGCCCTCATTGTATGGAAGATGATGAGTGGGAAGGAAACTGGGGGCTCTACTAGAGTACAGAATAAACGTGCTGCTCCTTGGTTTCTTAAGCCCTGCTCTTTCTGTGGCTGTGAGTGGTCATGGCAGAAGTCATGGTCAGAAGTCAGAGGTCATGGCGGCAGAAGTCAGTGCCGCAATCCTTCCTCTGCTGTCTCCACTTTTAGCTTTCTTGGTAGGCCTGGGGTTTGAACTGGGGACTTTGCACTGGCAAAGCAGGTGCTCTACTGCTTGATCCACACCTCCAGTTCATTTTGCTGTGGTTATTTTGGAGATGGCGTCTCAAACCATTTGCCTAGAATCATGATCCTCTTAATCTCAGCCTCCCATGCAGCTAGGATTATAGGTACCTTGTCACTTTTAGGTTTTTTTTTAACGTTCCCCCCCACTTCCCATTTTTATAATCTTTCTGTAGGTAGAAGGCTGGGTACAGTGGCCTCGGAGAGCCCTGTCAACTGTATTGCTGGAGTTTAGTTTAGTGGGGACGGAGTGGGCAGTGGTTGTTACCCAGGGCCCCCTCCCAGCCCTTTAACGTCTCACCCTGACACATGGATTCAGAAGCCAGACCATTTTATTTGAAGAACATATAGCACTTTGGGGTGTGGCCTTGCATGCAAACACATCAAGGGATGACACTGTTATTTCTTCCCAAAACGCTGAGGGGCAGCCAAGCTCCAGAACGCTCCAGACCGAGGACTCAGCCGCTCTTTGCTCCAGGACCCCCAGGCATTTCTGCCAAACCTGAGGAGAGATTCATCCTCAGACGTTGCTCCCTCTACTCTCCCTTCTTGAGTCCCCTGCCCTTCCAAGCCCCTGCCATGTGTGTATCCCTTTGATACTTACCTTTGGGGCTGAAACAGGAAAGCTGGGCTCCTGCCAGGTCTCTCCATTGCCTGCAGCAAAGAGCGCAAGAGGGACCCAGGGTTCTGGGCATGCTGCTGTGGGTGGGGTCCACTGTCTTCCTCCTATAGCATGGCGGGGGGTGGCGGGGATGGAAGGTGGACAAATGCCCTGGACACTAGAGTCACGGAGAAAGGGGTGGCTTCCCGGGGCAAGTAAAAGGAGGCTGCGGGCCATTTCCTTCGGCAGCCACGGAGGATCTAACCATAAAGTACAAGTCCCAACTGAGGTAGGGGAAACGGTGATGTGGGGGCAAGGTGCTCACTCACCACAAAGATTGGGTCTTCATCCTGGACCCCTGGTCCTTCAGCATGGCCCCAGTCCATTAACAGCAACAGCAGCAGCACAGCCACCCGCCTGGAATCCATGCTGCCATCTACCTCCCTACAGCCACACCAGCCTCTTATACCTGCTGTCCCCCTGCTCCCCATGCAGCCTGGGGGGGAATCTAGACAGGCAATGGAAATGCATGGCTCCATTAAGAGCCACCTGGGATCCCCTCCCATGGTCCCCCTGGGACTTCCTGCTTTCAGCCTTCCGCCCCCAGCCCTAAGCCTGGAGTCATAGACTTTATTAGCTACATAAATCCTACCTCCAGAGCTCAAGAGGTACCATTAATTGCAAATGCTTTGCCAGAGCCAGGCCCTGGGGGGGACTTACAAGAACCCCAAATCCCTCAACAGGTTGGAGAGCATCAATTGATCACCTCTCGTCCCTAGTTTGCAGACTAAAGTGTGAAGAAACTCCTGTCAGGAGGGCTAGGAGTCATGTCCTGGATCAGAGGGAGCTAGGGAAGTTGTCACCTGCTGCCTGGGTTGACAGGTCACAGGCCATTCTCACCCCTGCTTATGTGCCTCTTGGAAGGCTAAACATGGAATAACCACTCTGAAATTTGTGGCCACAAAAGTGAGATACAGGAGACTGAAGGGTTTTGTAGTTCATACTGGCTTCATATCTGTGGCAGGCCCCATCTTCACCAGTGCATGGGGTACCAGCCTCCACAACTAGAGCTCTACTGCCACCCTGTGGCCACTTCAACTCACTGCCAGGTCCAGCAGTTCGCTTTTCTTAGAACAGCACTCTGAAGGAGGGTGAGGTCCAGTGGAGGTCCAAAGATCTTGACTAAGGGGCAGCAGCAGAATACTGTATTCTGTATGGCTGTCATTTTGTTTCACCTCTGGTGGTACAGCCTCTGCTTGGCTCTGGCTCTGACTCTGACATACTGGAGTAGATGAGTAGAATCACCGCTTCTTGAGGGCCTTCAAGTCATCTGCTAGTTTATGCTAATCCTAGAATCCCTGCTGGGGCACTGGCACCAGTGTGGGTTTCTGGTTTATGCCAAAGGAGAACCATGGTGTAGGCCTCTGACTCAGTCATGGGCAAGCTCACTTTTCAACCTCAGCTTCCTCACCTAAAACAGGAACATTAAAAGAAACTATCTCCTGCATGAGTATTATTTGAGATACCTTTTGTAATATGGCATAAAGTATCCTAAAAACGTTTGCTGTCATTACCTTCACACCCTGGCCCTAGGAACACACCATCTCCTGAGCCAGTCTTTGGACAGATGTATCCTTGTGCTGAGCTGGCTTTAGTCTCCCTGTGGCTTCCCCCAGGCATCTTAGTTTGCGCATTAGGTCTCATAGAACCCATCTCAGCACTGTGTAAAAGTCATTCATATGTTTGAAGACATTTCATCCTTCCACTCTATAGTTGTTTTTTTTTTTCCCTCAAGGGAAGCGTCATCCTCTTTAAATTGGTTCCCTGTTGATACCAGTTTACATGTTAGGTTTGTAGATCCTAGCAGGTTTTCATCTGAATGGTCTCGATAATATTTCTATCAAACTAAGCTTGTGTGAACCTTTTTGTAAGTTTTGTTTCATGGTTGGTCCCAAACATGGAACTTGACATTCATCATTACCTCTTGTAGTTCACTTATTAAAAGGAGATCAAGTCCATGGGTAGCTGGTTTTACATCATATTGTGGTCCTGGTTTGTTGCTGTCCAACAGGTCCACAGAAACAGAGTTGTGAGGACAGGTGGGACACCACAAACTACGGCTGTGGACCAGAGAAAGCTCAGTTTTTATCTTTGCTCTTGTGCTTCACTGTGTGACTTACCTAAACCTCAATTCATCAATAAAATGAAGGAATCTGCACGCACGAGGCCCTGGATTCACTCTCCAACACTAAACATCAAACCAACTCCTCCTGCTAACGGGCTGCTGTCAACAGTGCATGGACCAAATGCAAAGCACGGTGCTACTCCACCTACCACAGAGCAGGCACTCTTCACTGGATGCACTCAGAAAGGGGCTTGGTTATATCCAGGACAGGGGTGACTGGTCTCTGGTTAGGAGACAAAATGGGTTAATCCTTCTAACCTAGTACACTGCTCTGCCTTCAGCATTCCAACCTCAAAGATCTCTCCATCTTGGCTTTGGTATTTGGCTTTCAGCAGCTTCCTTTTTTCACCCTTCCATGAGCTTCCAGGTGCCCCAGACCACAACACAATGATGGCCACCATTCTCCTAAGGAGGCTCCATCTCCCTGTTTATGCCAGTTGTCTACCAAACACCAGCCACCAACAGCTTCTCAAATGATTTCTCTCCTACTGGGAAACCTCAGAGGCACCTGCTATCTCTTTTGTCAAGTTCTCCAGCCTGACTCACTGTTCTCCCTTACAACAATAAAGGAATATACAGATGCAAGGAATTATTAATGGTTTACTTATACCTCTTCCTCATCCCCTTGTTTTTAAGAGCATTATCTGTTTTCTTATGAGCCCTTACTTGCTTCTAAACAAACAAACTTTGGCCTACACTTCTAGATCAATCTCCTCCTCCTTATCAAAAATTTCACTTTCTGTGTTTATGCTGGAAACAGCTTTTTTTTTGGTAGAACTGGGATTTGAACTCAGGACTTCACACTTACAAAGCAGATGGCTCTCTACCATTTGAGGCACACCTCCAGGTCTGTTTTGTCTTGGTTATTTTGGAGATGGAGTTTCACAAATTAATTGCCCAGACTGGCCTTGAACCGCAATGCTCCTGATCTCAAACCTTCCAAGTAGCTAGGATTACAGGTGTGAGCTACTGGTGCCCAGCAGTGCTGGAAACTTCGAGGGCAGGGCCTTTTCTTCCAGTTGTTGGGGGTGGTGCAGGGTGCAGGCAAAACGCTAAAAGAGGGCACTCATATTTAGACAACCCCCCCACCATCCACATAAAGCACACATTAAGTTTCCTAGTGAGTGTTCCCTTGATGTCAAGGGTCATTGTCTTTAAGGCAGTCTATAGATCCTCAGCTCTATGCCTTCTGTCACACTGTGTAGTTTATATCAATCATCTGCGTTCTGGAGGCTGCGTCTCGCCTGTACAAAAAATAGGGATGAGAACATCTGCTCCTTCTGTCTTAAGAAGTGGGAGAGTAAAGAAGGTCACAAACGTGAATGCTAGTAAGTCCCCAAGAGTAGCCAGTGGGACCTGTGGCTTGGAATAGTGAAGCATCAGACACACCAGTGGTTCTCTTGATAGTTTAATGTTTTATTTGCAGCATAAATAAGGCACAATATATGTCAGGGCGAGGGAGGGAAGGAGAAGGCCAGGCTGGGGGGTAACTGCTAAATGGCAAGGGGGAGGGAAGTAGAGATGGTTAAGAAGAGCGCGAAGCCCCTGCCTCAGCCCCACCCCAGGAGATTGTGAGAACCTGCTCACAGGGGTCATGCTGAATCAGGTGGAGGGGAAGGGAAAGACGGCTGTGTAACAAAATAACCCATAGCACTGCATCCTCCCACCTGTCAAGAGTTCATCACTGGAGCCTGGAGAGACCCAGACCAAGTTGAGCTCCTTGAGATGGAGAGGTGTTGCTACATGTCAAAAATATATAGATGAACAGAGATATAATCATAGATACACACTGCTTTTTTCTCAAGAGATACTACATCAGGATGCAGCAGCCTCCTCTGTTGGAGCTGGAGGCTCATCTCCTCCAGGCCTGCAAGGTGTGTGGCGGGGGAGGAATGGAGTAGCTAAAGTTCTGCTGGTCCTTAATGTAACCAAGAACTCAGAGCAGCCTGCAAGGGAACACAGACAACTCCTGCCTAGACTGAGGCAGGGACAGGTTTTAGGGTTAAGACCTGAAGGAAGACAAATCTAGAATATGAGATGAGTGATGTGGTGGTGGTGGTTTTAATGGGAGTGGAAAGAGGTACTGGAGGAAATAGAAAAATACGTTAGTGCTAAGGCCGAGGACCGTATTTAAAAGCATCCTCCATGTCTTCAAAGGAGCTCCGAGCTTGCCCCTAAGGGCAATGTTCTCAAACATTAGTGTGCATTAGACGCACTTGGAGTGCTTGTCAAAAAATCCACCCCCAGAATTTCTGACTTAGTGGGTCTGGGACGGACCAAGAATGTGCATGTCTAACAAGTTCCAGGTGATGGTGATGCTGCTGCTGGTGGTCCTGGACCCTATTTTGAGAACCAATGCCCTAAGTATAGTCAATGAAACTAGTGCTCTTGGCCACATACAGCTGAAGCATCACTTACCAGCAGCTGCGGTGAGATAATCTGTGCTACTAGCTCCCCACTAAAAAAATAAAGCCCGGTAGCTACAATACAAACCTCCATCTACAAAGGACATATGCTGCCTTAACCTGCCCTACTATACTTGGCCTTTTTTCAAAGAAAAACAATTCAACTGGTGCAAGGGTGGAAATGCTGGCAGTCACCTATGCTCATTCCTTCCGGGTGGGTCACCATCCGGGCAAGTGCGGATTTATCCAAACAGAAACAGAGAAACCAGTTCAATGCTATGAGAGGGTGATGAGGGAGGTTGTAGTGGGGTGAGGGTCCTCTAATCTGCTCTAGGATCCTCACTTGTTCTGTTCCTCCATACCTCCACCCTGATCAAACACAAGTTTCAAGAAAGTAGAGAGAACATCAACAAAGGCATATGTGATATAGCTGGGAAGAATGGAGTCTACATCAAATGGTTATGAGATTTAAAAAAAAATAACATTTCCTTCTTGTGTATACAATGTGTAAAATTAATAGGAAGAAAATTATGAAAGGGGAACACTCTTGTGGGAAGAGCCATTTCAGGGGCTAGCACCTTTAAGGAGCCTCTCAGTGTAGAGCAGAAGAGCCTTGGAAACCAGAAGAGTTTTTTGGCGTCTGCTTGGTGGTTCAGGCTGTAGATGGTACATGGCTATGGTGAAGCACTCCATCTCCCAGGATGGTGGTGCTGGAGAGCAAGTCCCTGAGGAGATGGAGAGGTGAATCAAGAAAGGAGCCAAGAATTACAGAACAGAATAGGGAAGGAAGGCATCAAGGGAATATTCACTCAGCCCAGTTTCCTCTTTTTTTTGTAGTTCTGGGGCTTGAACTCAGGGCCTTCACCTTGAGCCACTCCACCAGCCCTTTTTTGTGATGGGTTTTTTAAGATAGGGTCTCACAAACTATTTGCCTGGGCTGGCTTTGAACTATCCTCCTGATCTCTGCCTCCTGAGTAGCTAGGATTATAGGGAGGAGCCACTGGTGCCCAGCCCAGTTTCCTCTTTAGCCCAGTGTATGGTCTGGTACTTAGGGCCAAGGAGAGGAGTGAGGCAGAAGCAGATTCGGGTGTCTAACCAATAGGAAAGAAGTAAAGAAACTATATTCTTTCTAGTTCTCCTTAGTCTCCCTGGAAGGCTCTCTCAGTCTTTTCAATTCTAAGCAGGCTTTTGGGGCAGCAAGTGTGCAGAACAGAAGGCCCAAGTCCTGTGTTCACTCAGAAGAGTCTCAAGATACCACTCTCTCAGCTCTTTTCTGATAGGGGTCTCCCCCTCCTTAGGTCCTAGAAAGGCCACGGTCCTTAAGAAGGGCTAAGCAATGCCTTCCATGATACCAGATTCTGGACCAGCTGAGTCTGGAAGGCAAAGATCGGGAAGAGTGACACATGGCTCCTAGCAACAGCAAGGTAAGTGACACTCTCTTGACTAAGAGAAGCTTCAGGTAAGCAATTGCTTGGTCTTCTTAGTGAGAATGAGGACCAATTAAAAAGCTGTGTGGGGCCTGTCCTGCCCCTTCCTAATTTCATTGCCACTTCATTACTATAGTTCTGGCAGTGTTCCTCATTTAGGTCCCTGATACTAACTTCCCACTGATGAAAACAAAATAAAGACTCAAGAGAATTAGACATGAGGGCTAAGATATAAAAAAAGACCCTTTACATAGATTAGCCTGCCAACACAGGGTCAGACTGGTGGGGCATGTATGCAGTGACAAACTGATTCCTAACTTTAAAAATGCTTCACGGAGGGGGAAGAAACATATTCAAAGATCTTATGAAGGCTCCTTAGGAGCCAAAAGCTCACTCATACTTTAGGGCAAGGCTGCTAGTGGGAAATCAAGACAATAAAAAATGAAACAAGACTCAAAGGCAGGGAAAAAATCCCAGGGAGCAGCCGTCTAAAGGAGAAATCCTGAGCACAAGTTATGGCTGTGAATTTTTAAAGACATCCCTGGAGGAGACAACATGCATCCTGACCATCTGCCATGACATTTGCTAGTCTGATCACCTCAGGGGCTGTTCCTGTTGGGTCCCTGGCGGTAAAGAATGAGAAAACCATGTTTCTTTCCTTTGTCTTCACCAGGTGTGGCTTGCTCAGCACTGATTTTGAAGAGCAGGAGGGGAAATTTAAAACAAATGCGGCAGAACGCGTCAACTGATTGGCTAACCAGTTTATGATTCTGAGAAGATGGGAACTGTGTAGCTTAGAACATTTGTTTTTTTCATTCCTCAATGACAGTCAATTTTGGAAGACAAAATAAGAAAGGAAGCTGGCGGGTACTTTGTATGAATGTTAAGGATGCACGCAGAAGAGATGGAGAAAAGGACATTTTTGGCTTGGGCAGATGGCAGAAGGTGGCTCTGGGACAATTGGAAGGGTTTCATACTGAAGGGTTATTAAAGCTGACCTATCTATCCACAGGCCTCTGGCTTTGGATTGCTTCCTATGGCCATAGTAGAAACTGCATAGTTCAGAGCCAAGGGAAGATAAGGAACAAGAGGGAAGAACTCCTTTCCCTGCTACCCAACTCTTCAAAATAAGAATAGCTGAGAACCATAGTCAACAATCTCCCAGACAGGCCAGAACCTAGGCACCTCTGCTGAGATTACTACTACCCCTTCCCTCTCCCCCTTCTCCTTCCACCCAATCTTATACGCAAGGAAAGCCATTCAGGATCTTGACCATGATCTTCAGCGTCCTGGTACTTGTACCACAGAAAAAGCATTGCATTTAGGGAGCAGAGTGCAGAAGTGAATTGAGGAAACTTGCAGGACCAATGGCTATGCTAGGAACCTGGTGAGAGAAAAAGGTGTTCAGAGGGCCCTGATAAATACAAGACCTAGCTTGGAAGACAGACGCGTGAGGCTGTGAAATGGAGAAAGAGCAAGGGAATGCAAGAGTATCCTACATGACAGCTTCCAAGATGGCTGATCTGAACTAGTTTGGTAGAGGGACAGAGGCAGTAATGTGGACAAGCGAATGAAGAGAGAGATGCAGGAGCAGAAAAATGACCAAAGATGTCGTTATGCATACTTTGGCCAGTAAACTCTTGAAAAATATAAAAGAATCAATTCATCTGGTAACCTGATGGAACAAACTTTAAATTACATTGTTCCTGTCTGCCCTGATGATTAGAACTGGAGGAGGAGGGAGGGTGAGAGGGAAGCCCAGTAAGATCCCAGGCTCTCAGCTCTTTCCCTTTTCATTGTTTCATTGCCAAGCAATACCTAACAATAAGGCCACAAGATGAGGTTTCCAGGCTTAGTGGAAAGTGGGAAAGACTCCACTGTTAGCCTAGGTAAAGTCAAGAGACAAAATGAGGTACCCAAATAGTTTTGGAAGATGAAAAGGAAGTTTTGGAATTTTGCATGGTTTTTTTTCTTTTCTTTTTTTGTGGTGGCAGGTAGGGAGAGGAATAAAGTATGGAAGAGCTGGAAAATACTGCTACTTCATATATCAAAGGTGACCTTACATTCTCCATAAGTAAATGTTTTAATTAAAATTTAGGAAGGGGAAAAGGGATAAATAAGCAGCTACTGGGAGACAAAGTCCTGAGTCTATGGGGTGGCTAGAGATGGGACAGCAGGTGATATGCCATCTAATCTAGCCTCCCTTTATCTAGTAGGAAGTGACATGCTAGTAAGGAACAAGAAGGTAACAGCCACAGCAATGAGAAGAGAGGAAACTGAGAAACCCCAAACCCAGAAGTGCAAGGGTTAGTGTTAAGAGAGACAGGTATACGTGCATGGGGCAGGGGTGATTGCTCGGACCATCTGGAAAAGCCTTTGGCTGTGGGTACACCAGAAACCCCACCCCTGGGGGATGTTCTATGTGGCTCTGGGGCTGGGAGGCCCCTAGCACAGGTGTCAAATGTACACGACCATGTGGCTAAAGAGAAAAGCCCCACCACATCTGTCCATATTCACAACACACAAATATTCCCCCCATATTGCCACGTCCAAGGCAGATGGGAGGGATAAGATGATATCTCTCTTGGCTCTTGGGTGGGCGAGCTCTGGCTGGGGACCTCTCCACCAGGGGAGGCATCATCTGCCGGCAGACTGAGACTGTGGGGTCATGATCACATGCGACTGTATGGGCATGCTCAGTTCTGTCCTTTGGCTGGCCATCTGAGTGAGGACTGAGGTGGCCACAGCTTCAGCTGCAGAGCGAACACTGAGGCCATTGCTAGGGGCTGTTGCTGAACTGTGTTGAATCACAGGGGCTGGAGAACCCGTTGGCTCTGAGCTTTCCTTGGGGCTTTCTGCCAGAAATGAGAGCAAACAGCAGAGAGCAAGTGGTTAGAAAACAGAACAGGAAAACAGGCAGGACTACATTTTGCCATAATTCCAAAGGTGTCCAAAGGAAAATGAAACTCATCTTTTGTGGGGAAAACTCTCTAGAAGGAAGGGAAAGAGAGAATAATGGAGGGGATGAACCAAATTGGGTGCATTACGTTCATATATGGAAACGTCACAATGAACCCCCCTGTACAACTATTATAAACTAATAAAAACATTTAAAAAAAAAAAAGAGAGAAAACTCCCCAGAATTCTGACTTGTAACTTATGAAAAGGCTAGGAAATGTGAGAAGGGAAGCAAGAACTAGACCAAAATTAACCTATTTATCCCAATAAAGTGAACCCCCAACGCGTTAATTACACTGGCTTCTAGGTCTCTGCATAGTTAATTACCCTATTTTGTACAATTTTTCCCTTATTCTTATCTTTAAAGTCAATTTAAAATAGGTCTCTGGGCTGGTGAAGTAGCTCAAGCATTAAGAGTGCCTGCCTAGCAAACGCAAGACCCCGAGTTCAAACCCCAGTGCCACAAAATAAATAAAATAAAAAGATCTCTTTTTATCTATCCTTTCTGATTAATTCTCAAAGAAACTCAAAGACACTGAATCATTTCATTATTATTACTATTATTATTATTTTGGTGGCACAAGTTTGAACTCGGGGCCTCATGCTTGCCAGGCAGGCATTCTTACTACTTGAGCCACCCTACCAGCCCTTTTTTGTGATGTTCTCCCCCACACTCCCCCCTCATAGGGTCTCATGAACTAGTTGCCTGTGATTTTCCTGATCCCAGCCTCCCGAGTAGCTAGGGTTACAGGCGCCCGGTCCGCTAAACTTCTTGAAATGCTTTCCTACTGTGATTTATATACCACCACATCTAACTACTCAGCTGTTTTCTCCCCTACCTTCCTGGCAGTACTCTTGTGGGGTCCTTTTTTTTTTCTTTATGGTACTGGGGCCCTGAGGCCTACACCTTGAGCCACTCCACCAGCCCTTTTTTGTGATAGAGTCTTGTAAGCTATTTGCCCAGGCTGGTTTCGAGCCAAGATCCTCCTGATCTCTGCCTTCTGCATAGCTAGGATTACAGGCATGAACCACCAGCACCCAGGTTTTTTTTCTGTTGTTGTTATAAAAGTTTTAATTGAGCTCTTTCCACATTATAAGCCATCTAGTATGGGAGTGGAATGTGTTGTGACCAGTACTGGCTCCACAAGCAATACTGAGCCTATAGTTAGTGGTATTAAATTCATCTCTCATCATAAAAAAACCACAATGTGCTGCCTCCACATCTTACAAGAGGTATAAAAAACTGTAAATATTTACACCCTTGCTATATTCCTTTATGGAACCTTGGGATCCAAGGACACCCCTCTTTGCTTGGGACATGCTGGGTTGCAAAACATTTAAGATTAAAATGCCTGTCCTGCCACCTGGGACCCCAGTGTCAGAGGCAGACAAGAAATAAACAAAACTTTGGTTCAAAATTTGAAGGAAAAACCCCTGAAAGTTTTGAGCTTGTTTTTCAAAGCTCAACTTAAGGGTTCTGCTCTTACAAAGCAGATGCTCTACCATGAGCCAAGGCTTCAGTCACCAAGTCCAGCTTTGGTGCAATTTTTGATTCTTCTTTTTCTCATATAAACTATCTTATCTGGCCTATCACTCTAACTTTGAAATATATCATGAATTCAACCACTTTTTGACACTTTCACTACTTCTATCTCGGACAAGACTCCTTATCTATTGCTCATAGTATTACAATAGCCTTCTAAGGTGGACTGCCTACTTTTGCCTAGCAGAACAATCCTGTTCAAATATAAGTGAGATCAGTCATATCGCGCCTATGTTGAATACCCTCTCCACGTTCCCAATGAAGAATAAAAACTTTGATCCTTGCTATGACCATCAAGACCTTATATGAAATGCTCCAATACTTCCTCTGCCTCATCTCCAACTACTCTCCCCTCCAGCCACACTAGCTTCCTGATGTTCCTAGATTGTACCAGGCATGCTCACTCTCCTTGGGTCTTTGCATTTGCTATTTTGACCTGCAGTACTTTTCCTCCACATAAATGCATGGTAGGGCTGGCAGTATGGCTCAAGTAACAAGGTGCCTGCCTAGCAAGCACAAGCCCTGAGTTTAAATCCCAGTACTGCCAAAATAAAAACAAACAAATAAATAACAAAAGCATGGCTAACTCTTTCATTTCTTTCAGGTCTTGATTCAAAAGCCACCTCATCTAAAATTTTAATCCTGTTGCCAACACTTCATTATCCTTCCTCGTTTTCTGTTTTCTTTTCGTTTTTTTGAGACAGGTTTCATTCACCATGTAGACCAGGCTCATCTTGAATTCATAATCCTCCTGTCTCAGCTTCTCAAGTACAGGCATGCACCACCACCATACCTAGCCCTGTTTTATTTTTCCTTTTATCATTTACTGCCATATAAGATACAGGATATCATCTATTTTACTTATTTGTCATTATCTGTCTCACCTACTAAATATTATAGGCTCCTCAAGGGCAGGCCCTTAATCTAACCTATTTGGTTTCCTATTGTATCCTAAGCATGTGCCTGGCACAGAATAGACAATATTTGCTTAATGAATGAATGTACCCTGAAGCACATATTAAAATTTAAACAGAGATCTTTAAAAATGGTGACATGGTTCCTCTTTTTCTATGGGAACACATCTCTGAAATGATAAATATGGTTAGTGGAAAAATAATTCAATATATCAAATGTGATAACTAACATTCCCATGAATTTAATTTGTAAAGGGAAACTAGCATTTACTAGTTTTTACTACCCCTAAGCAAATTATTCACAGTAATATTAAGGTTAGAATTGTGTTTAAGCAATGGCCATCTTTTTCTAATACTATTATAACAAACTAAAACCAATATTCTCTATAAACATGCCACCAAATCCCAATACTAAATCTCAAAGTATCATTGGTTATTTATCTCTTCTCTAGGTCAAGACTGTATGTCTGGAATAAGAAACACCTGAATATAAATCTTGGCTCCATCACTTTACCAGCTGTACAACTTCAAGTAAGTGATCAACCTGAGTGCAGTTTTTTCACCTATTAACAGAGGTAATACCTATTTCAGGAGGGAACTGGGAAGGTGGTAAAATCCTTACACAAAACAGATACCCAGTCAATATGCTACCCTTTAGCCCCAACTATTATTGGTAATTAGGATAATTTTTTATTTTATTTTATTTTTTTGGGTAGGACTGGTTGCTCCACAAGGGCTACTCACTGATCAGTCTTGAGAGTTCCCAGCATAGTTAAGATGGGGTTATAAACAGTTGTGACACTCAGTTTGTGCAGTTTACTGATTGGTTTTGCTTAGGCTGTGAGCCACTCACCTAAATAGCCTTGAGTCTTTTTCTGTAGTGCAGTGACTGGGCAGTCTTTATGAGCTAACAGCAGCTGTTTCAACTGAGCCACCTCATTGCGTAGTAATGTGACTTCATTCTGAGGGTGGAGGGAAGAAAAGAGTATCAAGAAAATTCATCCTCTGCTTCTAGACTTCCAGTGGCTATTTCCAGAGTGAGGGCAGAATGCTCCCTGGATTTTCTTCCCTAAACTGGAACATGACTCCTGATCCAGCAAGTCTTCAGATAGCCCAGGGCCAGTACAGTCATGAATTCAATGACAGCAGTTGCCTACCGTGAAAATAAGGACTTGTAAAAGAAAAAAATTACTTGTACTTAAGATAAATATGAGTATACTAAAATTAGTAATGCATATGCTGTTCGACTAAGAAAACCTACTTCTAGCCATAGTTCTGTTTAACAGAGCTATTGAAGCACATGCGATGTTCACTGCAACATTATTGTTCTAATGAACAGTATCAGCACCCATACTATATGATGCTACCATACTCAGAATGTAATATTCTACAGCTACTTAATGAGGCAGATCTTCCTTATCCATAGCCAGGTCTCTAGAAGATACTCTTAAACCATTTATGTCTGAACCAACTCACAGTCCCTCCAATTCCTACACAAAAACTGTAAGTGAAAAAATTTAGAAATACATTTGGCAGGTATACATGACTTATTTTCAGGGAAGAGAATGGGCTGTGGAAGTATATTAAAAAGGGACTTTGCGTTTAGTCTGTGTGTAAGATAATATAAACATATTTATATATTAATCCCTCCCCCTTTTTTGGAAATACTGGGGTTTGACTTAGGGTCTTGTCCTTGCTAGGCAGGTACTATAACTTGAGTCATGCCCCCAGTCCTTTTATGCTTTATTTTTTATTTATTTAATTTTGTGGTACTGGGGCTTGAACTCTGGACCTACACCTTGAATCACTCTACCAGCCCTTTTTTGTGATGGCCTTTTTTTGAGATAGGGGCTCGCAAACTACTTGCCCAGGCTGGTTTTGAACCTCAATCCTCCTGATTTCTGCCTCCTGAGTAGCTAGGGTTACAGACGTGAGCCACTGGCTTATGCTTTATTTTTCAGACAGGGTCTTGCATTTCTGCCCTGGCTGGCATGGACTGTAATCCTCCTACCTATACCTCCTGCGTAGTTGGGATCACAGGCATGTACCACCACTTCCAGTTTATTTGTTGAAATGGCTCTAACTTTTTGCCTGGGCTGGTCTCAAACCTCAATCCTTGCTATCTCTACCTCCCAAGTAGCTAGGATTACAGGTGTGAAATATCATGCATACCTGTAATTAAACATTTTAATAATCTGAAGGGAAAATAATATTCAAGACAATGTCTGGATTATAATTGTTTTATTTGTGCTTGTGGTGGTTCTTCCTTTCCCTTTCTCTCTCCCCACCTCCCCTTTCCCCCTTTGTTTCTCCTCCCCTTCACTCCCCTCCTCTCCTTCCTCTTTCTTTCTTTCATTCAAGATAGGGTCTCACTGTGTACTCAAGGCTGGCCTGGAACTCACAATCATCCTGGCTTAGCATTCTGGGTGCTAGGATTATAGATGTGTGCCACTAGGCCCAGCTTCTTTCTTTCTTGTATGAAGCTGCATTATTTAGGCTAAACACAGTTTTTGTTGAGTGTACCATGGCCCCAGTCAGATTCTATTTTTTTTTTTTTTTTTTTTTGTGGTACTGGGGTTTGAACTCAAGTGTCTCACACTTGCTAAGCAGGCATTTTACCACTTGAGCCACAACCCCAGCCCTCTACTGATGATTTAAAAGAGGACCCTGAGGTGCTTAATCTAATTTCCTTCACCCAAATAGGTCTATGGGTTTGTTTTTATGGTACTGCGGATGAACCCAGGGCCTCCATTTGCAAGTGCTCTGCCATGCACCTACATCCCTAGCCCCCAAGTGGGTCTATGAATGACTCATTCTAGTGACAGACCTGGAGGTGAAAGGTGCTAGGAAAGAGGTCTCAACTCTGTTAAGAAATTCTGCACTTTCTGTTACAACTTCTGGATCTATCCTACTTGAAGAACTACCATCTTCTATTATATGGTAGCACCTTTTTTCTGACTTAACTCCACTTTCTAGATTCAACAATCCCAACAGTCAGCCAGGACCCACTCACACTCAGCTGAATGTTCTGAGAAGTGAGTTCCTCTGCCTTCTTCTCCAGGGAGGATACCCACAACTTCCGCTTTTGGCGGCAGCGGGAGGCTGCAGCTCGGTTCCGCTCCAGGAAGCGCTGCCGCCGCTCATCCGGATCTTCATCCACTGTGCGCCTCCGGCGTCCCCCAGTACTAGGAGTGGGCTGGGCTGGAGAGACCTGTTGTTGGCGAAGAGGAGAAATGTTTGTTTTGAGACAGGATCTTACTAGGTAGTCTAGACTAGCCTTGAATTTGTGATTCTCCTGCTTCAACTTCCTCAATGCTGGGATTACAAGAGTTGGTGGCAAGAAGAGAAAGGGGTCTTGAAGGGCACATCAGTCCTTCTCAAATCAAACCTGATGCTAAGTAGATTCGCGAAGTCTGGTAGAGATCTGGTAAAGGGATATCCCAGTCTCTGGTAACACCAGCAAGTCTTATCACTATGTCCCTCCACTTCTCTTCTGGAGTAAGTAGTGTTTCCTTCTACATCCCACTGCCTCCACCTTTCTCAGCACTGTTCTTAGACAAGAAACACTTCAGCTGGAAACTGATTATTTCTGAGACACAGAGGGAATGAAACTGGGACCGCTTTTTGTTTCTTAATGTAGGGAATCTTGTAGTCAGGGAATTCAGAATTGTGGGCAGGGTGATGAACTATTTTATGGAGACTGAAGTAAAGTTTGAGAATCACCAATTTGGACAAGCAATCTATACATACAACTGCATGCGCTACCAAGTTTCAGAAAAGGACAAAAAATATTTCTGTTTACTTCTCTAGCAGTGAGATATAGGCTATTATGGAGAGATAGGGATTTTTTTTTTTTTTTCAATGGTGGGATGGAACTCAGGGCCTTGCACATGCTAGGTAAGCATTCTACCACTGAGTTACATTCCCAACCCAGTATATTCTTTTTGTTTATAATCAGTACTTAATCATCCTCAACTCAGCACCCCTCTGTTTTGCTTGTAAACAGAAAAAAACCGCTTAATTCCTTTGTAAACTGACAATAGAGCGCCTTTGTTTTTTTTTGTTGTTGTTGTTCTTGTTTTTAATGAGACAGAGTCTTGCTATGTAGCCCAGGATGGCCTTAAATTTGCTATTGTGCTTCTACCTCCCAAGTACTGGTATTATAGTTGTGTACTACCATGTTGGGCTTGTCTTTTTATTTTTTTTTTCTATTATAGGAAAGATAAGTGGCAACTGAAGGTACTGTGGTGACCTGAGCTGTCAAACACTTTCCAGATTGCTTTTGCATAGTTGGGAGATCCCATGGCCACAAGCATCCATAGCCCTTGGAAACATGCTATTATTGTCTTTTGTTTTTAAACTTCATACTGAAGTCCCTTGTCACTAAAACTTGGCTCACCTTCCTTTTCTGATAGTTAGTATGTATATAGACAAGGCAGACTATGAGAGCAGCCAAAATTTAGCAAAATGAAGAAAGGTCAACCATCTGTGGAGAAGAAACTATATAATATAAAGCAATGCCAAAAGTAAATTCTTCTTGATCTGTTGCTAGTAGGAATATTTATTTTAGCATTTCCCCAGTGCCAGTGCTCTTACCAGTTTTATGAAAACAAGCATGAACTATCAAAACAATGGAATTTTCTACTCAAGTCCTACTGAATTGTGTTCTCCATTAATTAATTAGATTATTCTATTTATTCAAATTAATATTATCTCTCCTAAAAGAAAAAAAAATGGACGCTGGATACTAGTGGCTCATTCCTATAATCCTAGCTACTCAGGAGGCAGAGATCAGGAGGATCACCGTTCAAAGCCAGTCCTGGGCAAATAGTTCTAGATACCCTATCGCAAAAATACTCAACACAAAAAAGGGCTTGTGGAATGGCTCAAGTGGTAGAGTGCCTAGCAAGAGCAAGGCCGAGTTCAAACCCTAGTACCACCAAAAATTAAAAAAATGGAGAGGAAATTTAAAATTCATTTAATGAACTAGAGGCCTTCAATCATTGTTCTGAGAGAAGACCCTTTCTTTAAGAAATTCAGCTGGAAGTGGTGGTATAAACCTGTAATTCCAGCACTCTGGAGGCTATGGCAGGAGGTCTGTGAGTTTGAGGCTAGCCTAGACTACATATCAAGACCCTGTCTCAAAACAAAACAAAAATCACAAAATTCTTCCAAGAATTTTAACTTTCTCTGTTCTGAGCTCATAGAAGCACAGGTAAAGATTAGTGTTTTCAAAGGGGGAAAAGGAAGGGTAAGTTCCTGTTCTCTCATAGGTAGTTCAGTAACTCACTTGGAGTGGAAGTGAAAGAATAGGCCAAGAGAAGGTAAGAGTGAGAAGAAAAGGAATTAGTGGTGACTAAAAAGGAAGCCACATCTTTTTTTCCAAGAGGAAAAGCAGCACAGCTTGGCAGGAGGCTGCTGCTTTGCCGTTTCTAGGACTGGCTGGCTTGAGAGGTGATGGGGTTCAGGAGGGTGGGCAGGCTTAGCTTCTAATAAGAAAAATCAAATGAAAGCTTGTTATTGGCCAAGCTTTAAGGGAGCATATGGCCATGAAATGTTTGGACATGTGGTGGTAACTGATGAAGCAGGTGGTGACATCAGGAAGAGAGGGACTGGGCAAAGAATGTAACTCTAGAAAACAATTTCATGTCACCTGTCCAATGCAGACTATTATGAAAACTGAAGCCTATTGTTTCCAAAGAATCTTGTTAAAGCTGAGACCTTCTTGAGAAGAGAACCAGGTAACTAAATGGGAGCCCTCTGTTTTTTTTTTTTAAGAATTTTTATTTCTCTATGATAAAAGGAGACTGAATTGGTAATGAGAACGTGCTTTTTGGTTTTGTTTATTTAATTAAGTAATTTATTATTTATTTTTGGGACAGGGCTTCACTATGCCTTGGCTGGCTTGGAACTTGCTATGTAGCCCAGGCTGGCCTGGAACTCACGAAGCTCCTGGCTTCCTTTCCTGAGTTCTAGGATTATAGGTGTGCACCACCATGTCCACTGTATTTTCTTCTTTTTTTTTTGGTGGGCCTGGGGTTTGAACTCAGGGCTTTTGCTTGCAAAACAGGTGCTGTACCACTTGAGCCACATTTCCAGTCCATTTTGCTTTAGTTATTTTGGAGATGGGGGTCTCACGAAATATTTGCCTGGACTAGCCTTGAACCATAACCCTCTGTATCTCAGTCTCCCAAGGAGCTAGGATTACAGGCATGAGCCACTAGCACCTAGCTCTGTGTGTTTTCTTATTTTTTGACTGAGCCATCTTCCTACGGTAGCATCACATTATAGTATGCACCACCATGTCCAGTGTATTTTCTTTTTTTGGTGGGTCTGGAGTTTGGAAGGCCTTGTGCTTGCTAGGGAGACATTCCATCACTTGAGCCACACCCCCACCCCTTTTTTGCTTTATTTTTCAGATAAGGGCTCCCATTTTTATCTGTGGCTGGCCTCAGATAGTAGACCACTGGCCTCTGAGGTAGCTGGGATTACAAATGTAAGCCACGATGCCTAGTCTTTGTTAGACTAGTGAGAAAGACACTAGGGGAGCCTCCTTTGATTAGGGTATAATGTGGCTTGAGGTGAGATTTTGTCAGTTCATAGGATTCTGCAGATACATTAAGACATCATTCATACATGGAAAAAAACAAAAATGGAGTCCTCTGCAACAGCTCTGTGTTATTCAGTTTGTTTGAATGTACATCTAACACAAAGAATGGTGTGTTTAGCTGGGTGCCGGTGGCTCATGCCTGTAGTCCTAGCTATTCAGGAGGTAAAGATCAGGAGGATATTGGTTTGAAGCCAGTATGGGCAAACAGTTTGAAAATACCTACCACAAAAAAAAAAGGCTGGTGAAGTGGCTCAAACTGTAGGCCCTGAGTTCAAACCCCAGTACTGCAAAAAAAAAAAATAAATAAATAAAAAAAAATTAAAAAATGGTGTTTTGCTGCAAGCTGTCAACAAGAACCAAGTAGCAGGAAGATACCTAGAAAGCTGAAATCTGTTCTTCAATTTCCTGTTCCTTGAAAAACAAATATGACATAAACAGTAAGGATAATGCAACTGATTCCCCCATTAAAGGGCTCAACTGACCTGTGGCTGGGCAGGAGATGGGGCATCAGGGTGCTGGATGAGGATCTGACTCTGCTCTGGACGGGCTGTCACCATGGTGCTGGCAGTACCCACTACCATTCCACAACCACCATTGATTGAGGAGACTTGGTGAGTTAGGGTGGCTTTTAGTCTCTGTGAGGAAAGATTTAAAAAAAAAAGCTTGTCAATGGTGAGATTCTATTATAGGTGAGACGGATGGGCTTAGACTTGATTACTGACCTAACAGATAGTTAAAATTTCCACTCCAATTTTCTTTTAACGGAGGAATTAAAAGAAAATGACAGGGAGAGAAAATGCACCTGGATCCCTAAAATGCCTACTCTGTTCCCTGGCTATCATCCTGGGCACAGTTGGGGGCTGAGGGTTGTTGAAGCAATAGAGTCCAGATGAAAGCTCTCTCCTGGAACCCAGCCAGTTGCTGGGTACGCAGCTATTCACCTCTTGGCCAGCTCCCCTGCCCACTAACCCACCCTCCATCTGTCACCCTGGAACTAAAATGGCAAGTGTTCCATTCCAAACAATCTGTGCTGCTTGTTTTCGCTGCCATGGTCTATGTACCAGGCTCTAAAGGTGGGGAGAGAAGATGAGAATCATGAATCAGGGTCTTTTCCAAGCCCCACAGTAGGGTGTCCTTAGCTTTCACGAGCCCCAGAAGATCTTTTGCTCAGCTCACTTGAAAAACCTAGACTGATAACCATTTCTTTCAGAAGGGCGAACATTACCCCAGGCTGGGATGTACTCACCATCTTGGCTTCTGATGGCATAGGGTGGCCAGAGGGAGAAATGGAGCCACTGCTATTAACTGGTGGACCAGGGATTCCAGGAATGTTGGGCACCATGGACACAGGTCTGGCCAGCTGATCAAGAAAAGGACCAAAAACCAGAAGGAGACATAATACTATTGGTTTTCCAAAATGAAGTGCTTCTGAGATTAATATGCCAGGGTCTGTTCTGTGCAACCTGCCTTTAGGGCATGCTGGGACAGTTTGGGAAATACCATCACCTATGGAGCATCACAGGATAGGAGATCTAATCCTTCACTGCTGGGACAATTTCTATGGAAAAGGCTGGGGCTGTATCTTGAAGAAAGTAGTGAGCAATTTGGGAGAAGCTATGTGCCAAGTGAAATCAACCAATCAGCAGAGCTGGCAAGATCAATTCCTAGACTAGGAGCCAATTGTCCAGATGAGTCTTTGTTTAGTGCTCCACAGTGCTGGATTGGCAGAGGTTACCAAGAGTTTGGGCAGGCTATCACGCTCAGCTAATATAGACTAGAGCCCACATTTCTCCAGGGCCCTCTGTTTCTGAACATTCAGGTGGAAGAGAGGGATTAGTGTGTTGGTAGGGTTGGCTGCCCCAACTATAGAACTCACCGATATAACAGAAGGCATCTGTACTGGAGGCCCTGGAAGCACAGGCATGGTCTGTCCATTAGCAAGATGCATGACAAGAGGGAGGGAGCCAGTAGGAGACCTACAAGGAGACATGAAGTAAAATGCTCACAATACAGATCTTTTGCCTATGGGTCTTCCATAATTAGAGCAGATTTTGTAGTCTTCTGTAGTTAGGGAAGGTATAGAGCAGCACTATAAAATCTTGACACCCTCTTTGAGATGGGAAAAACAGATGGAGAGAAATGACAGTCTGTTCTTTTTCCTTCTCTCTTCTCCTCTCCCTTCCCCTCCCCTTCCTTCCCCTTCCCTCCCCTCTCCTCTCCTTTTCTTTTTTTTTCCCCTGAGGAGCTGGGGGTCAAACCAAGAGCCTTGGACATGCTAGGCAAAGCACACTGCCACTGAGCTACACCCTCAGCCTGGCGAAATCTTTATACCTTGAAAATTAAGCAAACTCAATGGGTAGAGAGCTAATCCCATTATGGGTTTAGAGTTAAACATCCCATCACTGATATGTATAAGTCTTGCTTTAGGCAAAAAAGAGAAGGAACAAAGTTGTCATTTTGCAAAGATGAATTATGTTATACAGTGGTCAAATCAGAGTAAGTTTCTCTTGTTTCTTTCCATGTTTTATTCTCCTTCCCCAAAAAGAAGTTATCCTTTTTTATTTTTCCTAGTGGGTCCAGAGAATAAGTTTTAAGAAGCTGATATCTGACAGCCTCTTAACCCATGGGGACTTGGGGTAGAAATTTAAGTCATCCCATCAGGAAACCTGTATAGGCCATCCCAGGAGTGAAGATAACTAAACAAAATTAGAGATGTAAAGACAAAAAAACTTAACTAGGGGAAGCACTAGTTTCAAAAAGATGACGTAATGGGTTCTAGCCTTTAATTCAGTCTGTAGGATATCAAACTGAGAATTCAATATATTTCCTGATCTGGCTTCCACCACTATGATGAATTTCCTATAGTTTTAAGGATTCATCTTTTTATATTACAAAAGTATTAAACCCTCAAATTATGAATGCATTACTCTTTCCCTCCATCAAATATTGCTTGTCTAGTAAAAAAGGTAAATATTCTGTATATATGTATATATGTATGTGTGTATATATGTGTGTATTTTTGGTGGAACTGGGGTTTGAACTCAGGGCCTTCCACTTACTAGGCAGGTGCTCTACCACCTGAGTCACTCCATGAGCCCTTTTTTATGATGTTTTTTTTCGAGATAGGGTCTCAAACTATTCGCTCAGGGCTGGATTCTAATTGTGATTCTCCTGATCTCTGCCTTCTGAGTAGCTAGGATTACAGGCACTGAGCTTTTATTTTGAGACAGGGTCTTGCTATGTAGTCCAGGCTGGCCTTAAACTCATGATCCTCCTGCCTCAAACTTCTGAGTGCTGGGATTATAATGTGCTACCACACCCATATGGAAAATTTTATTTTGAGAAACAATCTCAACAATTCATTTTCCTTGAGTATGCAAAAATAGTTCCTGGAGTCAGGTATGGTGGTGCACTTCTGTAATCCTAGCACTCAGGAGGCAGAGGCAGGAGAATGCAGAGTTTGAGTTCAGCCCTGGCTACATGCTGGGACCCTGTCTCAAAAAGCTAAAACTAACACACCACCAACAAAACAGTTCACATTTCATTAAATAATTTCATGAGACAGAAACAGATTTAAGCTTCACGTATCTCTCTACTCTCTTTACTTACCCAATTTGCCTGCTGGATGGTGGAGCCTGTGTGATGACGGAGGTTGGGGAGGGAAGGGTTGGATGAAGTGGATCATAGCCTAAGTGGAGAGGCAGGGAGCCAGGACGTACAATGGTGGGTGTGGGGGTAGAGATCACAACAGGCTTTGGGGCAACCTCCTAGGAAAAAGAGACCAACAGATCAAAAATGCTTTAAGGACTGCTTATAGGAAAATACATAGCTGGTAAAATTTAGTATGGATTTATTGAAAAGAGCAAAACAGTCACTTATGTAATTCATGACCTGATTCCATCATAATCATGCACCTATACTTCACTCACTCATTCAGTAGGAATGCTGATTTAAGATCTCTTAGCTACAGAGTAGCTGTAATTCCAGCTACTCTGGAGGTGGAGATCGGAAGGACCATGGTTCGAGGCTAGCCTGGGCAAAAAAGTCAGCAAGACCCCAAAACAAGCCAGGTATGGTGGTATTTGCCTATAATCCCAGCTACACAGACAGCCTAGGTAGGAGGATTGCAGTCTGAGATTTTTGCCTCAAGCAAAAACGTGAAACCCCATGAAAAATAACTAAAGCAACAAAGGGCTGTGGTGTGTGGCTAACGTAGTAGAGGACTTGCCTAACAAGCAGGAGGCCTTGAGTTCAAACCGCAATACCACGCGCGCGCGCACACACACACACACACACAAATCTCTTAGCTATCTCTTTTTCAAGGATGATGGCTATGTAAATGAGATGACAGTTGGACAATCACTTAAAATCTTTGGAGATGCACTATAGTACCATATGAATTCTAGGGACTGTTATGATTTTTCACAGTCTAGATACTCTCATTCTAAACTTGATGCTCATATGTCCTCTGACCTCCAAAGGGAAAAGGCAGGCAGGTATTCTGGTGATAAGGGCAACCCAGTATACTTCTCCTATAGACTCCTTAAAAAAAAGGGCTATGGAAACTTTAAGCATCCCTAGACAGTCTCTAAGCCTTGGTTGCTGAAAGAAATATCCCATGGGATGCTGTAATGTTTACAGATACATTGAGAAGTTATCAAATCAAATTTGGAGGCAGGTAAGATGGAGGTATGATGTTCTATCCACAGTGAATGTTAAAATTAACCACTAGTAGAGAAGTAGAGATTGGAGGAAACATAAGGGGGCTTCTGAGGTTCTGATAGTATCTGTTTTTCATCTGGTGCTGGCTACTATAGGCTATTAATTTTGTGAAAATTCAGTGAGCTATATACTTACAATTTATGTACTTTTCTGCATGCATACTATACTTCAACAAATTCCATTACAAAGTATTCTTTAAAAATAATGATTGTTGCTGGGTGCTGGTGGCTCATGCCTGTAATTCTAGCTACTCAGGAGGCAGAGATCAGGAGGATCACAACTTGAAGCCAGCCTGGGCAAATAGTTTGTAAGACTCTATCTCAAAAAAACTCTTCACACAAAAAGGGTTGGTGGAGTGGCTAAAGGTGTAGGCCCCGAGTTCAAACCCAATACTGGGGAAAAAAAAAAAAAAAGATTGCCACCCAACACAAAAAAGGGCTGGCAAAATGGCTTAAGTGGTAGAGCACCCGCTTAGGAAGACTGAGGCTCTGAGTTCAAACCCAGCACCACAAAAAAAAAAAATTGTGAAGTTAGATGCCAGTGGCTCACACCTGTAATACTAACTACTTAAAATGCTGAGACCAGGAGGATCATGGTTGGGGGCCAACCCAGGCAAATAGCTCTCAAGATCCAAAATAACCAGATCAAAATGAATTGGAGGCATGGCTCAAGTGGTAGAGCTCCTGTTTTATAAGTGCAAAGCCCTGAGTTCAAGTCCCAGTCCCACAAAAAAAAAAATCAGGGAGAGACCATTTTCAGCACTCCAGATTTTCCTCTATCCATTCCCAATTCATGCACTTCATGAGAAGTACACACTATTCTCTTTTTTGCCTCCCCTCTCATCCCTGCTCCCCATTTCTTATTTTTTTTCTTGAGACAGGGTCTTGCTGAGTTGCTCCAGGCTAGTCTCAAACTCCTGGCCTCAGATGACTTTCCCACTTCAGACTCCTGAATAGCTGGAAATATAGACCCCTACTCACTACCATGCCTTGATTAGCAAACACTATTCTGAGTTCTATATCTAAATAATTTTGCCTTTTTTTGCCTCTTATGTAAATGGAATCATATAGTATGTACTTTTGCATCTGGCTAGCTTTTTTTGTTTTTTTGGTGGTACTGTAGTTTGTACTCAGGTCCTCATGCTTGCTTGGCAGATGCTCTTACCACTTGAGCCACTCTGCCAGCACTTTTTTTGTGATAAGTTTTTTTGAGATACGGTTTCATGAACTATTTGCCCAGGCTGGCTTCAAATTACGATCCTCCTGATCTCTGTCTCATGAGTAGCTACGATTTCAGGTGTGAACCACCAGTACTTAGCCTAACTTTTTTTTTTTTTTTTTTGCAGTACTAGGGCTTGAACTCAGGCCCTTTACCTTGAGTCACTCCACCAGCCCTATTTTTATGAAGGGTTTTTGAGATAGGGTCTAGTGCACTATTTGTATGGGCTGGATTTGAACTGCGATCCTCCTGATCTTTGCCTCCTGAGTAACTAGCATTATAGGCCTGAGCCACGGGTACCCGGCTGGCTTAACTTTTTTTTGTTGTTGTTCAATATGTTTGTGAGATTTGCCTATATTACTGTGTAATCATGAATTCACTCACTTTTTTTTTCTTTCTTTGACTTTCTTCCCTGCAAGTGCTGGGAATCAAATCCAGGGCCTTGCACCTGCTGCTAGGCAAGCACTTTACCACTAAGCTACATCCCCAGCCCACTTTGTTCTTTTTTTAATGCCATGTCGTATTCCAATTCAGAAATAAAGTAGAATTTGTTGGAGGCATGGTTCATGGGGTAGATACTTGTTTAGCAAGCACAAGGCCCTGAGTCCAAAGACCCAGTACTGCCAAAAGAAAACAGAAAAAGAAAACTATCAGTATTTATTCTGTTTATGCTGGGATTGAATCAGGACTTTGTGCATGCTAAGCAAGTACTCTGTCTTCACCTCCCACAACTTATTTATTCGCTTTGGTTGATGGAAATTTGGAATGATTCCAGGTTTTTTTTTTTTGGCTCCTTATTAAGAACATTGCTATGAACATTCTTCTTTTGCTAGACATACACACTAATTTATATTACACTTGGAAGTAGGAATTCTGGGTGAGAGGATAGGTATGATTTATACAAATCTTCTAAATAACTAACATTTCTTTTGAGTCAGATGTAGTAGCACATACTTTATTGGGATTACAAGTAGCCAGTTTTTGGGCTACACAGCCAACATACTACCCACCCCCCGCCAAAAAATCAAACCAAAAACCCACCCCATTCCCTAAATACAGTCAATCCTCCTCTTACACTATTTATGAATCAAAAACATTTGGGATGACTCCTGGCACAGAGTTTTACCTTCTCCTTCAGTGGTGGGGAACAGGGACTAGAGGCAGGACTGTCAGGTGGGGATGAGTCTACCTCCACTGGTTCTTCTTCTTTGATTTTGATGTCTGGTGTGGAAGGCAGAGACATGTCAAGGGGCCCAGAAGCACCCTGTTATGAAAGAGAGTGAACAGAGTTCATGATTCTCTTTGGGTTGAATCCTGTATCTCTGCATTTAGAAGATGAGGGCATATTCTCTAGGCTGTTCAGCTCCTGGTGAAAGCACTGAACTGAAGTCAAGGAAATGTGGGCCCTATGCTTTATGTGTAATTCTGGCCAAATCACTTTATCTCCTGAGGCTTCTGTTTGCCTAACCATAAAATGAAGATAATATCAGTTGTAAGCAAATACTTATAAAAACCTGGAAACAAACAAACAGAAGAGATGTCATTTAAATTCAAACAGATATTACAACTGTAACTTTTTTTTTCAAGAAAGCAAAATGATCCCTGCTTATTCCCAACCAGTTCTGTTGGCCATTGTAGAGCTGTCAATATGTTCTCTGCCAACCAAAATGACTGGGTTACCCAATTATCAAAAGCAAACGAAGACAAACTGGCTATTAAAATACTGCAAATAAGATAACAAAGATCTTTTCTCAGGAAAATGTCATGCTGGATGGTGACAGCACTTCAAAATCTGGGGCTGGAGGTTAGTCAGTTCAGGCAGATAGCATTTTGGGGATAACAGAAAAAGAAAAGGCAGAGCATCTGATCAGTGAAAGAAATGGGACTTGGTTTTAGGAGCAGGACTGGAGAAACCAGAAAGTAAAGAGAGTACTTTCTTGGCAATGGTGCAGTCACCTCACAGAAATGTGGAGCTGTAAATAGCTTTGCAGGGAACAGTAAACCATCTGAGATAACAGCTCTGACAGTGCTCCATGACAGGAGGCTTGGCACTGCAGTTCAGTTTCATGACAAAGTGGATCCTTTGTTCTATTCTTCCCATATCCTAGGTTTCTTGGTGAAAGAGGAGTCTGTTTTTAACTTCTTCCCTTGCTGTCTTAATCCCTAGAGGCCTTCTGGGTGGCTGGCTGAGTAAACTAATCTGGTATCTACTATGTTAAAGACAGTAGTAATGGCTCTTTCTTCCCAATCTGATGAGGGTGAGCAACAGCAATGATAGTTTCATTTCTACCTCACTTTTTCTTCATTGCTAAGATAACAGAGCCAACTTAGCTACTTCTGAGATCTCTGAAGTTATACAGATTGGTGGAAAGGAGAGACCTCTAAGTAAATACAACCAAATGTTTAAAATTCCCAAGGGGCATCTCCTAGAAAAGTGTGGTTCAGGAAAGTTTCAGGCTCATTAAACACTCCTGGAGACAATCTTCCACTATGTCTGTACTTCTCATCAAGGCAAGGTAGGGACCACCCTTGGACCGGTAGGAAGAAACATCAAGGGATGCTCACTGAGGAAAAAGCCTGACCAAGTATAAACTGGCCTCCCAGAAGTATCAACTGAACTAACATGGCAGTGGGAAAGACTTGAAGCTTTTAAAGGGAGGCTATTTTTTAAAAAAAATTTGCCTATGAAGAGTTTGGTATAAAAATTTCTCACATCTTGTGGAAACAATCTGTTATGTTTTATTTTGTTTTGAGGGAAAGAGGAAATAGCAAGGGAGGTGAGGTAGGGATGCTATAGGTAAAATTATGCCACATAAGTTGAGGTAATTGAGAGACGAGAAACCTGGGTTTCTAAAGGAAAAAGAATGGCTACAAGACTGTGGCTAGTTCTGTCACTTGAAAGTAGAACCACAAGCCACGCATGGTGGCACATGCCTGTAATTCTAGTGCATTTGAGGCCACATAGCAAGACCTTGTTTCACAAAAAAAAAAGAAATGAAAATGAAACTATAAATATACTGAGTTTCCCTGCTTCCTTTTATTTATTTATTTTAAAAATATTATTCTTTTATATGGAACGCTTCACAAATTTGCATGTCATCCTTGCGCAGGGGCCATGCTAATCTTCTCTGTATCGTTCCAATTTTAGTATCTGTGCTGCCGAAGCGAACACCCCTGCTTCCTTTTAGTTAAAGGGAAATAGCATGTAAACAAACTCATAGAAAGCTAGGAAACTTGGAGGGAATGCCAATGTTAAAGATACTTTATCCTGCATTCCTAGAATTTAAGCTGGATAGAAAAGTCAGGTGTAACTTTTTTTTTTTTTATGGAATTGGGATTTGAACTCAGGGTTTTGCACTTGCGAAGGAGGCACTCTACTACTTGACCCACACCTCTAGTCCGGCTTAACTATTTTGATTTACTTGCCATCTTCTTCTTAGAAGGAAAGAAATCTCATGGAAATTTTTTCTTATGTCCTGGGTTTTCTATATTCTGATGGGATTCCGTGCCTCACCATACCATGCAACTGTGAAGTAATGTGTTAAAATATATATTTTGGGATACAGATATTGCAATATTTTCTGAATTATTATGCAATATGGACCTGATTTTAAATAGCAATGAACAATCCAGAATTCTAATTGTAAGTAAACTTTGATATTTCTTTTTTTTTTTTTTTTTTGAGACAGGATCTCACTGTGTAACTTGCTATGTAGTCAATCCTCCTGCATTAGCTTCCCAAGTGCTGGGTTTATGGGATTACATGCACACACCACCACACCCAGCTTGATCTTTCCAGTTTTCTTTTTTTCTTCATTTATTCATATGTGCATACATTGTTTAGGCCATCTTTCCCCACTGCCTCACCCCTCTCCTTCTACCCCCATACCTCCCTCGCTTTCGGGCAGAACCTATTCTGCCCTCTTTCTCCAATTTTGTTGTCTTTCCAGTTTTCTTTTCCCCACAAATTCTTTATTCCATGGGAAATTTTTTCTTTTAACTCTGTTTCTTCAACAATTTCCTCTAGTCTTTCAAACTAAAGAATTCTCTAGGGATGTGGAATATATAGAAGATAAAACCAGAATCACAGCACCTCAGGACTGAAAGGAAGTCCAACATTTTAATCCTTACTACAGTATCTTATTATTAAGTTATTAAGTGGCTACATATAACTGAATACACTTTGTGATAGTATCTATTTCTACTTAGTGCGCCTTCTTTCCAAAAAACTAACTTAATCCCCTTTTTCTTTTTTTGTAGCCCAGCCTCACCTGGAACTTGCTATGTAGCCCAGGCTGGCTTTGGACTCCAGATCCTCCTGCTTCACTCCCTTCTTCCGAATGCTGGGATTACAGGCACTACTATGTCCAGTATGTAATCCCTCTTTTATATGAAAGCTCTTCAATTATTTCAAGTCTTCAAGTATTATTCATACTAAATCTCTTTTCCAAGAAAAATGTCTTCAATTTATTGAACTGTTTTTGAAGCGACATAATTTATAGTTCAGGATGGTGAATATCCTGGCTGATCTCCTTTGAAAGGCATTACAAACATTCTTTGTTAACTATAATGCCCTGAATAGTGCTAGAAAGCTACCTGAAGTAAAAACCACATATACTGAAACAAAGAAGAGAAGAAATTCAACAAATGTTGGCTAGCTGAATGAAAAAAAAATAATCCAGGTGAAAAGTCTGATCTGTCCAGAAAAAAAGGGGGACTTGGCAATAAACGTTACCTAACAAAGTTGGATTATCTTTTATCTTCAATATATTCATAACATAAGTAATTTTAAAAATAGATTACTGAATTACCACCACCACTGGAAAACAGGAGGACTGATTCTTGGTGAAGACAGACCGGTGCTGATCTGAACCCTCCTAAAGATCTGGACGCCTGACTAGGATTAGTGAGTGTTGTTCAGTTTAATAGAACTGACTCCATAGTTTTTGTCTTTTAGCCAACTAAGCAAATTATACCAAGGCACAATGAAAATAGCTTAAGTCTATAGATCTAAATAACAGTTTTTTTCTTTTGTTTTATTTTTTTACAGAAGTCCCAGTCTTGCCTTTTTCTCATCCTCATCTGCTGCTTTCTTGAATTCATGTTCAAAAGAGCTAGCCAGTTCATTGAAGAGCCCCACCTCCTCGCAGTTCTTGAGAAATCTAGTCGGAGTAGGAGTTTGATCTGTAGACATGAAAAGAAAACTGTTTTAGTTCTGACTTTTTATTCTCCTATGTGGAGAATTTGCTTTCATTGAACTCTAGTAGGTAAAGGCTGGTGCTAGACCACCAGAGGGTGTCTGTGTTGTGTTGCCTCAAGGCCAGCAGTGGGAAGACAGGACAATGTTTTGTTGTGTAACTATTCACACACCCACCTTTCTCTCAGTCTGGTTTTCTTTCATTTATCCCCAAAGAAAGCACAATAAAACAAAACCACCACCTATGTAAGTGAAGTTTTGTGAAACCTCTACATTTGAAAATCAAATATGGTTAAGCAATGTTTTCTTTTTAAACTTACTCCCTGCTAGATGTGAAGTGAGTAGGAATAAGCAGAGGGATAAAATGTGATGAAGAGAAGAAACTGAGGATCAGATGGCTGAGTTTGCTTGTTAGAGCTACCAAATAAGAAGTGGTGCCTTGTTTTTCACTGAGTTGTGGGTCTATTACTTTCTGAAGGCATTCTAGGCAAATCCAGGAACTGGGGAGTAAGACAGCAATATCATGAGCTAGAAAAGGAAACTGCAAACAATAGGGCTCATTTCACAGAGACCTGGGCCCAGAGCAAATTCCGGAAGCCAGGATATTTGGATTTAGACTTGCCGGCCAAAATATCCCCACAGGGGCTGTGCAAATCTTTTCCTCAACACAGTGCCTTTGCTCCTAAGGACAGGAAGGCTCTTGATAATCCATGGGAACTTTTCAAGCAACTTGAATTTCAGATTTGAGCTTCTTTTTCCCCACCCTGCTTTTTTTAAAGTCAAATCTTGTTCCTTGATCCTACTTCTATTATGATGGTTTTCCTTGACATGCTAATCACCTCAAAGGTTCATCTTTTATCCTAAACAACTAGACAGAATAAAAGAAATAGAATAATGTTTAAATTATATATTTTTTGACACCACACTAATCTTTATTCTGGGCTGGGACACGAGCAAAGACACAGGCCAGTGACTTAGTCTTTTTCTCTAGTGTACAAGTTCTTGGTACAGTTCAGCATGGATTGCAGCTTATATTCTAACAGGTACCCATCCTAGGGGTGAGCATGCAGCAAAAGGGAGCATGGGGGAAGTACAGGATGAAGGCAAGGGAAGCAGAGGACAAGATCATCAGAGACCTGAGGTTTAAAACTGCTCCTGTAGTGTCATCAATTGGAAATAGTCCAGTGGGATTTTCCATGGAAACATTTTTAAAAATTTCAACAAAACCTCTTCTGAATTAGTGTTTATAAAAGTTACCACTACCTTCTAAAATAGTTTTAAAAGGTTCTGTGGAAGCTTTGGTTGGCTAATGATAAAGACACTTTCTCTCCATCCCGGAGCAAGAATAGTATCATCCTTTATGCTCACAGTGCTTTAGTAAGAGCACACAGAAAATCACAACTTAAGTGGAACAGGAAGGGTAGCTAAGGGCATAGCAATGGCAGGAGAGGGACTTCTTACCTTCAGCTGACTCTGGTTCCTGAACAAACAGCTTGAAAATATGTAAGAAAGCCCTGAGCCTGCTTTGATCATTACTAAGAAATCAGTAAGTGTTTACTGAATACATATGTGTTTTGGTGCTATACACATATACTTGGGTATATATTTGGGGGATGGGGAGGAGTACAGTTTAACTATATGACATGGATCTTTCCCTAGAGAATTAAGAGAATGTTTTCTAGTTAAGGAAATAAAACTAATATACCTAGATAGTATCATAGTATACAAAAATAAGTGCTATGTGAAATGGAGAATAAAATTATTATAGGAACTAAATGAAGGCACATTAACAACCAGAGTTGTTAGGAAAGATTTCAATAAGTGGGACTTAAGCTGGGCCTTAGATTGGTATTTAGATATGTACTTGTGTGTGTGTGTGTGTGTGTGTGTGTGTGTGTATATATATATATATGATTTATTATAAACATTTACATATTTATTATATTTATGTAGATATACATGTATTTATAACCTGTGGCGGTAGATTGTAGACAGAGAACATCTGGAAGCTAAGAGGAGTAATGCAGGTAAAGGCATAAGAAAAGCAGGGTATAGTCATTGTGTATGGATGAGGAGAAAACAATATGTCTAGGTCAAAAGGTAACCATTTTATGTATGTAAGATGTATATAATGTTAGGGCTGGAGGTGTAGTAAAAGTCTGTGAAGGCTTAAAGTAAAAGAAAATAGGAAGATAACAACAAATTGTGATCTTCAGAACAGAATCCAGGGAAGACAGGCCTTTTAATAGTATGCAGGATGGATTACAGTGAGACTAGTCAAGGAGGCCAGCTAGGAGACTTTACAGGGAGGTAGCAGGAAGAATAAGAACATTGCAGTTTTGATAAGTGTTTCCCAAGTGCCCATGTGTTAAGGCTTGGTCCCTTGGTGCTATGGGAGGTGTTGGAACCTTTAAGAGCTGGGGACTAGTAGGAGGTTTCAGGTCACCACCGGCATGTCCTTGAAAGGAACTGTGGAACCCTGGTTTCTTTCTTTCTTTTTAGTGTTTCAGCCATTAGGAGAGTAGCTTTGCTTCATCATGCACTCCCTGCCATAATATGCTACCTCACCAGAGGCCAAAAGCAATAAGGTCAACCAACCAAGGACTGAAACCTCCAAAACTGAATAAAAATAAACCTTTCTCTTTATAAGTTGATTTGTGTCAGGTATTTATTACGGTGATGGAATGCTGACTAATACAAGGAAAAAACAGAACAGAGAGAATTTGGACAAAGAATAAAATGACTAAAGATTTTGAGAAAACTGGTATTAGTGAGTAACAAAAGAAAGAAGCAGCTAGGTGAGGTGGCACAGGAATGCAATAGCAGTACTCAGGAGGCTGAGGAAGGAGGATCTAAAGTTCCAGGCAAACTTGGACTGCACAGCGAACTCCTGTCTCAACAAACAAAACACACTTTTTTTTTTCCCCCTTGGGACTGTCTTTTAGCACATTCTATCACCAACCCTGGAGACTTGGCATAGACCCTTCCACCCATTTGGAAGAACCTTTCTAACTTGATAACCTTGCCCATATTATCTCTTTCAAAAACTTTCTAATTCCACTTAATACTTAATTCTCTAAGTATTCTTGCTATTTGTATTATTCACTTTTATTTGTCTGAAAATAATTTTTTTTCATGTATATATGCCCTGATTTAATATGTTTTACCCCACAGATACTTACACCCTACTCGTTTTTCCCTCAGACCTCAGTCTGGTTTTCTTAGGACTCATGATGATATTGTCCCCAGTCATCCTTTGCCCAGGAATTAAAAATCTACAAGTTCCTAGCAAAGTGTTTAGCATGTACAGATGTTCAATAAATATTGCTGAATTCATAAAGAATAAGAAATTTATAAGGGCAAGTCCCTTTTATCTTGTATATTTGTATGGAAAAAAGGTTCTATCTTACCATCTCCATGTCTAGGGAAGCATTTTGGCTAGTAGTACTTAAGAGAAATTGTGCTTTAATTGGTATTTAACTCATGTAACAACCACCATCCAAATACATTATAAATTAAATTTTAAGTTAAGCTTGCTTGGCTTGGGTTAAATCAGAACCTCTCATGGTATCAAAAGAAAAAGCCCACTTTGGCTGGGCACTGATGACTCACACATGTAATTCTAGCTATTGGGAGTAGGAGATCGGGAGGACTGCGATTTGAGCCAGTTTGGAAAAAATAGTTTGTGAGACCCATCCCTATCTCCAAAATAACCAGAGCAAACGGACTGGAGGTGTGGCTCAAGTGGGAGAGCGCCTGCTTTGCAAGTGCAAAGCCCTGAGTTCAAACCCCAGTTCCACCAAAAAAAAAAAAAAAAAAAAGAAAAATCCTACTTTAGTTTGTATATCTAGCTGCAAATAGCACAACAAAACTCCTGCAGTTGCTAAGAGTGCTCCCTTGAGAACGGTGTATGGAAGCAAGACAATCTAAAACAACTGGAGAGGTTCCAGGTCACACAAATTCGCTTTGAAAAGTCCCACTGACTAAATGTCTTGTTTGTGTTTTGGAAATGTGCCCTCAACAGTGTCTGGGCTCACAAGGGAAGTTGAATTTATGAGCTGATAATCTGCCTGCTGGAGGAAAACTGACACCCAGTGGAAGAGAAGCAGCCAGGCTAGGTCTGCTTTTTTGTCTTCTTTTGTTCACCTCTTCATTGTGGATAGAAGAAATGTCAAAGGCATCTTTTGTCTGTAAATCTTCCAAAGTCTTAATAAACAGAAGGTAAGGAGGGAACAGAATGAAAAAAGCTAACATAAAGCCTTAACACACCTATCTTCTAAAACCACAGAACACAATCTTGTTATTAAAAAAGTGCAAGGCACGATAGAAACTTCGGAGCTCTTAGTGTTCTTTTCTCCAGATTAAATGCAAATCACATAAGGGCTCTTGATGGGAGAAGGGGAGAACAGCTCCCAGTATATCTGGTCCCTGGAATTAATCTTAACTGTATGGTGATAGCAAGACACGTGGCTTTTGGGGCAGCAAATACCTGCAATGATGACTGAGTCAGTTCGAGCTGGGCCAAATTTCAATGTCATTTCATGCTTGTGTTTGTGAACTGCCAGGTGGTCCTCGTTTGTAAATCTCTGAAATGAAACAGAAATGGAGATGTGAAAAAAGAGAGAAAACACCCTATCAATTCAGTGCCCTTTTAAAATGTCCTACGAAATGACTGCAATGAAGTTGTTCCCTAGAAAGAGGGAATTGAGAAGGAAATTGAAAAGAGAAAAGCAATGTTGGAAAAGGTGAGGAGATGGAGAAAAAGGCCCCAGAAAGCAGGAAGGAGAGGAAGAAGACCACAGTACCAACTGCTCAGTAATATAAGGTCCAAACAAGAGAAGCAGACAGATTGCTGGTGAAGTGGGGTACAGGCAGGAGGTCCAAATGAAAAAAAACCATTGAGACAAACTCATAGTGAACAAGGGAAAACAAATTTTAATAATAATAATAAAGAAAAAAGGAGGGAAAGGGTAGGCACTCATTGGTCATCACAAAAATAGGAAATTTCAGAACAAACCTCTCCATGGTGGGGCTGAATTGTACTATTTTATGAGAGGGCTAACAGGGAGATAAATTATGCAGGATTAGTAGAACCATTTAACTTCCTGGCCCCCACAGTGCTGCAGCAGGCGCTTGTGCAGCTATTTGGCTCGGGGTTTTAATAAGCCAGGATGGAGCTGTAGAGGACTGAGGCCCAATGGCCAGCAATAATGGCACATACCAGCCCCATTGGCCAAATGCTGTCTCCCCTCATCAGGCAAGCCCGCCTGGGCTCCAACAGCCATAAAGGGGCCAGTACAATGCGGCTGGCTGTATAATGGCAGAGTAAAAATGCAAGCAAAAAAAAATTTTCAGGGTAGGGAGGAGCCTGTAGGCAGGGTGAGGGAAGAGAAAAGGAGGTATCATAGAGATTTTATTTGTTTAGGGATTTCAGTGAAAGAATAATGAAGAGGTGAGGCGATGTCTACCCCAGTTTATGAGTAGGACAGACAGGGTTACTGGACAATAATTTATGCTTCTACCCTTTAAAAGGAGGAGGTGAAAGGAAAAGATGAACAGCCATAATTCAAAAGAATAGTACCCCCAAAAGTCCCTTTGAGGCCACTGGCCATGTCCCTTCATTAAAACATGCCAGCAACACAGAAACAGCCTGGATGCTGTGCTGCTCCACAGCTCCTTGACCAAGAAGGTTCTGAAACATGTTCTATTTGTCTTTTTGATTCTAAAAATAGTGACTGGTTAGTCCTGTTTTTACTTTCTTCTTTACATACATACTTACCACCAAACACTGCACCTTTTAGCCCTCTTTCTCACAGCTTCTCTGCAAAATAAATGCACAAGAATTGGCCTCATCTTAGCTCCCACCCAGTCAGGAAAACAACATGGAACTGTCTTGGCTTCTTTATTTTATCCAAAAGATTTCCCCTGAATTCACAACTAAAGCCAGCTTAACATCCACAATCCTTCCAGGCAAGGCATACAGGACTGAAGGGCAAAGGAATTTTCAATAAAAAATAAAGAAGATCCAGGAAGTCAAACAATCAAATGGACTCTACTCGCTTTTGTCCTAGATCCATCATAAATCATAAAGTATGGGAAAATTTAACCAAAAACTATAGTTTTTTTTTTCTATTTTTGACACCAACTTTTTCAGTTACAGATTTTCTTCTAAGGGATAGGTCTGGGAAAGGAATAGTCTGTTAACCAGGAGTGTGATATTTGTAGGTTAAAGAAGTAATTGTACCCGTAAAGAATCAATAACTCATGGAATAAGTGGGCAAATGAAACTGAACAAGCAAGTCTCAAAAGAAGTACAAATGGCCAGTAAATATATGAAGAAATGCAAATCAAAATGATAAGAGATTTCACCTCACTCCAGTCAGAATGGCTACCATCAATAACAAAAACAACAACAAATGCTGCTTATCCACTGTTGGTGAGAATGTAAATTATTATTGTAATTACTATGAAAGCAGTATGGAGGTTCCACAGAAAACTAAAAACAGACCTACCATACCATCTAGTGATAACAGTCCTGGGCATATACCCAAAGGAATGTAAGCCAGGATATGATAGAGCCACTTGCACACTCATGCTTACTGCAGCACTATTCACAATCTCCAAGCTTTGGAGATAGCCCAGACACCCTACAATTGATGAATGGATTAAGAAAATGTGGTATATATACACAATGGAGTATTATTCAGCCATAAAGAAGAATGAATTATGTTTTTTGGCAGGTAAATAGATAGAACTGAAGATGATCAATGTTAAGTGATGTAAGCCAGGCTCAGGACAAAGGTCGCATGTTTTCACTCATATGTGGAAGCTAGACCTAAAAGATAAACATATTCATAAATACATAAATGGTCTTACATACATATATGTACACACATATATAGAGAGAAAGAGAGAACATGATTGTAATAGTAAGTCTAACTGAGGAGACTATATGGAGGCAGAAGAGGGAAGAGAACAACAATGAATAACATTGAAATCCATTGCATCTGTGTATAAAGATAGCATAAGGAAATGCTCTTGAAATAATAGGGGAGTAGGGTGATAAAGAGTAAATAATAGAGGGACTTAATCGGATTTATATATATATATATATATATGTGAAATGCCAAGGCAAAACCCTCTTGAACAATTAATAAACACTTAAAAAAAAAAAAGGATCTGGCACTAGTGGCACATGCCTACAGCACAGCTGCTCAGGAAGCAGAAATCAAGAGGATCACGGTTTGAAGCCAGCCTGGGCAAACAGTTTAAGAGACCCTATCTTGAAAAAATACAACACAAAACAGGGCTGGTGGAGTGACACAAATGGTAGAGCAAGCATGAGTCTCTGAGTTCAAACCCTAGTACTGCAAGGGGAAAAAAAAAAAAAAAGGAGGACAGGAGAACAGGTCCTGTTCAGGGTGGTGGTAGTAAATGGAGAGGGTGCAGGAAGAGGAATATGGTGGATGTACTTTGTATATATGTATGAAACTAGAACTACAAAATCTGTTGAAATTGTTCTAAAAAGGGGAGGAGGGGTGATGAGGGAGAATGATGGAGGGGGTGAATCTAATTAAGATACATTCTAAGTACATGTATAAATGTTACAATGGAATCCCCCTATACAACTAATATGCTAATAAAAATTGTAAGACAAACAAATGAACACCATGTAATTGTACAGGATCTGAGATTGCCAGGTATTTGATGAAAGGAACTGATCAGGACCTAGTCTACAATGGAGTGGGGGAGAAAAACCCCCATTCTTTTATGGTAGATATGAAAAGTAGATTCAACAGGCTTGTAAGTATTGGTACTGTTATATACTATCTTTTTAAAAAATATATTTATAGGTACTTTAAGGAAACTTCATGTAGGTAGCTTGAAAAAATTTCACAATGTTCTAGAACTTACATAAATTATCAAATATTTATAATGTAATTAGTTTCCTTCGTAATCGTTTTTACTTTGTTTGATTACTTTATTTTTTGAGACAAGGTCTAACTATGTAGCTTAGGCTGGCCTCCAACTCACTACACAGCTCAGACTGGCCTTGAACCCCTACTTCGGACTTTCTAGTGCTAGGACTACAGGTATGCTACCATGCATAGATAAAAGGGGCAAGTTTTTTTTTGCTTTTAGTTTGTTTTGTGGTGCTGGGGATTGAACCAAGGACCTTGTGCATTCTAAGCAAGTACTTTACCACTGAGCTACACACTCAGTCCTCTATGTATTTTATTTTATGAATTTAAAAACATTTCTCTGTATTATGATTGGGATATGAAGTATCTCCCAAAGCTGTTCCTATACTGAAGGCTTCCTACCTAGCTGATGGATTTAATCATTGAAAAGTGACTGAATCACATATGAGTCTACTGATGGACTCATAATCTGATGTCATTACTGGGACATGATGGAAATGTTCAGTAGTGGGGCCTAGTTAGAGGAAGTAGGTCACTAGAACATGTCCTTGAGGCTATACCTTGTTCTGGACCCCTCTCTGTCTGCTTCTCTGTGGCTATGAGGTAAGCACTTCTGCCCAATACCCCCTTCATTGTGCCTTCTCTACCGTGATGCACTGCCTCAGTACAGGTCCATAGCAATGGTGAGCATGGAGGCCAGCTGACCATGGAGTGAAACCATGAGCCAAAATAAATCTTACCTCCTTTAAAATTGTTTCTCTCAGGTATCTGTCACAGTGACAAAACAAAACATAACAAAAAAAATTGACTAAATGCATTTTGAGAAAGGATTGGTTGACTTCACCAAACTACTAAAGAGGGTTCATGATACCAAAAAAATTCAGATTCCCTGAATGAACAGCGTGAGTGCACTTCAGAGGAGGAGGAATCTAGAGGCATAATTTCAAGAAGCAGGGCACTAGCCTGATCTTGGCCCCAGTTCACCTGTCCCTGCTATTTCTGGTGATACTGGGGTTTGCCTGTCCCTGCTATTTCTAATATAATTCTTGTCCTCTGGGGTAGGAAAGGGAGAATAATAGTTTACTGAAGCTTTTTGTCAAAGTAAATATCAATGTGCCTTATATTTTCTCTCATTTACTAAGACTTAATACTCTAGATCAGGAGCTGGGAGTTTAGCTTAATGATAGAGTGCTTGCCTATCATGCATGAGACCCTGAGTTTGATCCCTAGCATTGAAAAAGAAATCTCTAGATTTTTTTTTGTGGAGGGGGTGGGATGGATAAGGGGATCTATCCCAGGGCCTCATGAAGTTTTGTTTTTTTTTTTTGTACTAGGGTTTGAACTCAGGGCCTACACCCTAAGCCACTCTGCCAGCCCTTTTTCTGATGGGTTTTTTTGAGATAGGGTCTCATGAACTATTTGTGTGGGCTAGCTTCAAACCATGATCTTCCTGATTACTGCCTCCTGAGTAACTAAGATTATAGGCATGAGCCACCAGCACCTGATTTTTTTTTTTTTTTGAAAGATGGCTTTTTAAAAGATGACTTTTTTTTTTAAAGATGGCCTCACGCTTGTTAGGCAGGTACTCTTACCACTTGAGCCATTCCACATACCCCCTCAGGAAGTTTTGAACTTCATGCTTAGAAAACCATCCCTGTAAAAGC